ATCATTTTTCTTGGTATTGTCTGTTCTGGAGTGACAGGTGGCCGACATTAAGAGGATAAATGGACTAGTGAGTGATCTCCAAATGTTTGCTCGAAAGACACTTAAGATACCGTTACCGGGGAGACATCCACCATCTCCAAGCATTTCAAATGGTTCTGATAAACAAGGGTATTTCTCACTTTTTTTTTAACGCAAAAAACTTGTTTTTCTCAATTATGGTGCGATTGATTGATGATTTCAATGTAAATGCATTAAGTCTGATCTGAACTTTTTATTAAGTTGAGAGGCATCCACCACCCACCGGCTTGTTATATGATGTAGTTCATTTAGATGACATTGCTTTGTTGGTCGTTTTTTTCCTATTCTTTTTTGTTTGTTTTTAATAATTATAAATCAGCACGATTACAGTGTTTTCCCAATTTTAGTACAATGAGAGTTTTATTTCAATGCAATTTGTTTATATAAATGTCTTTTGGCCATTTCCTCACTCAACATCCTTTCTTATTAGTTGCATGTTGGTCATCACAATAGCCTGCATATCTCATATAATATTTAAGCCCCTTGCATGTTTGCCAATTGCCAATGCCGTTTTTCCCCCTTAATTTTTTTATGTTGTATACAAGTTTATATGATACTAAGTAGCTTATTAACAGACCAAATTATTATTAAGAGTGTGTTTGGCATAGACCATATAAGCTTGACTTATTCAAAAAACAAGCCTTTGCTTTTAAGTGATTTTTATAAACAAGCTTAAAAATAAATAAATAAATAAAATAATAATAATAATAATAATAATAATAAAGAAAAAAATTAAGCTACTTTATGAGAAGTTATGCCAAGTAGTTTTTAACTCATAGGAAGCTAGTTTTCAGTAATTAAATCAGATTTTACCCTTGCCCTTTTGGGCAAAGACATCTTTATTTTGCTCCAAGCTTTTCAATATTTGTATAAACCAGTAAGCTTTGCATTCCAATAAACTAGTCAACTAGGGACAATACTTTTTTTTTTTTTTTTTTGAAAAAAAAAATGGTTTCATTGTCAAAGATGATATATTTTAATTTATTTTGTGATGTATGATGACATATTACCTTTGGTTACTATGTAATTGTATAACTTAATTTAAATTGTAAATATCTTCCTATATATTCAAAAAGTATTTCTTTTTTCCAATAATAGGTGCAAGGCCAAGGTGGTGTTTTTTGGTCATAAAACATTTCATTTTAGTAATTTTACCTGTATTAGCTAGTTTATCAACTGATTTTCATACTTTTTCAGCCGTCTAGCTTTAAGCTTTCAACTAATGTCTAGATACTAGCTTAGTACTCCATTACTATTGCCAAACAAAGCATGTGTCCAAAGGTCTTAAGACAAACCTTCTGAAGGCATCATGGTACCATCTATCTCTCTTTTACTATTTGTGTTCCTTCACTTTCTTCCACCTTTATAAGTGTTGTTTTCCCTGGTCATATTTTGAAATTAAATATTTTGCATATAGAAGATCAATTATATGGTCAAACTTGCAGAAATGGCATGTGTTAATGTGTAGAAATGGAGGTGGTTGTTTTGGGCTGGAACTTTCCTGTGCTTATTTGTTTTTGACTGAAAACCGCGAGGAATAACAATGTAATATACTGTCAATTTTTAAAAACATTTTTCTATAACTATAAACGGATCTTGTTTCTTTCAAGTGCATTACTGGATAATTATTAGTTCTGAATACCCTGACTTAGAGCTCGAAATTAGTTGCTAATTTAAGAAGTCTGTCTTTTAATTTTTCTAGACTTTGTAGGATGCATGGTGCCTAACTACAACATTCTTTTGGCAGAGCTAGCATCTCCGAGCAGACCCCACCTAATCGCAGACATTCGGACTTGTTTGATTCGTTTCAGTCAATAAAACTGAAACCTCCTAGCCAGCGAAAACCTTCCCCAACAATGAGTAGTTCACAAGGTCATTATGGTCCTGGAGCATCATATCAGAAAGCTATATTTGAAGGTTGTTTTGAAATGACCACATACCAGGGAATATCTAATTATCTTGACGATGATGGCCCTTCTCTTGACACATCACCTATGCTCAATCCGCCACTCAATCCTCAGAGAAAATGTAAAAGCGTATCAAATGGATTCTTGTCTTTCTTGATAGAGAATGGTCATTTGGTGGATTACGAATCTAATCAAGAAACTAAAGACAACGGGTCTGATAGATCGTGCGAGAAATCCTTCAGAAGGCGTCAAAAGTCTGAGGCTGATTTTACCCGCACCCATGAAATGATGCTAAAGGAGGATAACAGCAATGACGCTGGATTTTCACCTATTCCTGGCAAAGGCCTGGCTTTGAGACCTAATTCAGCTAGTCGGACTGCCATAGCTGCTGATAGTGAAGCTAGTCCCGTTTCTATTGGGTTGGGGGATTCACTTGTCGCTGAGAGTCACCACCGAGTTAGAAAGTCATCAAGTGCTTCAAATTTGCAGGATTCCGATAGTAGCCCATTGTCATCCCTGTGGCCAACGTCAAAATGGAGCTTGACAGATTTTCAGGCGCTTTCAACTGCAGCCATCACAAGATCAATCTTTGATGGCCTACCTAATCCAATAAGCGGTCGATGGAACAAAGCTGCACTTGATTAGTACCACCATTCTTTGGGTTACACACTGTCCAGACCATTTTTCTTTGATATTTTGGCCACAGATAGAAAAGCGGGAATAGAAATAAGCGATAGTAATTATTAAGAAGATACAAACATTTAGCTTTTTGCTGAAGGGCATTTCGTATCGTATCCATTGCAGATGTACAAGTTAAATTTGTTAGAGATTGAAAATCTAAAGCAGCAGAGTAAAGATTTTTGTAAAATGTTTCCACACTGATAGAATTTGCCAGTGGTTCTGTTTATTCATCCTGAGACCATCACAGAATATGTATACTTAGGCCTTTTGTTTTGACAATAGCAGGTATATACTATAGAGATGTTTAGTACAACTTTTGATTTGAAATCGAAAGAAAGGAGTTATCTAATATTCTTTTGATGCTTTGTGTGTGTGTGTGTGTTTTTTTGGCAGAAGTGTCAAATAGGCCCTGCGAAGTGCTCAATTTCTATCACGAACTAAATTAAGTGTCAAATAGTTTCATCTACTAGTTAAATTTGTTCGATTGACTTTTTTTTTTTGCAGGTTGCTAACATATTGCCTATTCAATTGTTAAAAAGGAAAAATAAATTTAAAATTAAAAAAAAAAAAAAGAATTTCACTCCGCGCCGGACATCCGGTGGCTGCGTATTTCACAGACAGTCGTGGTTGTCCGGCGATTCGGACAACCACGGCTGTCAAACATGATGGCAAAGGAAATACTATGGTCTGGGTGACGGACCCCTCTGCACCACCCCATAATGCCTCTATCAAACCACTGATTAAAAGAAAATTTAAATTCAAAATTTTTTTAATCAAATATTGTTAATTGAATCAGACACAAAGTGACTATGAACAAATACTATATTGTAACAGAGTCAATAGTACTTAAAAAAAAATTTTGAACCATACACAAAGTGAGGCAGAGGGAATACATTGCAAGTAATATTACACATTTTAAAGGTAACTACAATGGTTTGATTTTTATTTTTTATCTTTTTGTGAATTTTTGTCTGTTGAGCATATAACCATTAATGTGCAATCCAACTATTAGCTTAGACTTTTAGTTGAGATGGAGCATATGCTTCGATTTGTTATCAAAGCTATGCAGAAGATAGATAAAAATTGCCAATGCTAGGATTCATATATAACTAGGTTATGAAGAAGAGCAACTTAAATTGGTTTATCCTGACTAGGTTATAAAGCGAATTATACTTAGTATACATCTTTAAATAGTGAGTGCGAATATTTTCATAAATCGAAGCTAGGATTCATATATACTATTTATTCATTTTCTTTTAAAGTTGAATTGCATGAGTTGTAATGCATGGAATAACGCGCGAGTTAATAGGCTGTGCAATTATATTGTTAATTAGTAATATTATTCTTCTCAAACTTCATTCCTATAATCAACTAAGCTGTTCAGTGCTCATGCGGCCATGCGGGCTAATTAGTAGTATTATTATGAGTGCATGTGGTTGAGAATGGTCGTCACTTTCCAGAGCACATAATAAGATGATAAGATATGAGACATGGGCATGTATTTATTAGTGAATAGGCATCATCCCAAAGGGAGAGGGTGGTAATCTGCTGTGGCAATAGCCAATTATAAAACACGTAAGATTTTTTTATTATTATTATTTTTTTTCAAATCTAGTTGAAAGATTACGATGGTATTCGGTAAATGATTGATAGCTGATAGTGAATAGCTAATTAAATTAGGATAGTTGATTGGATTAGCTGGTTTGATAAGTTAATAATAATAATAATAATAATATATTATTTATGTATATAAAATATATTATTTGAGTATTAAAAGTATATTATTTTATATATTATTAAATAATGTACCTTTAGAATAAAATTAATATACTTTTAATATATTAAAAATATATTTTGTATTCATGGTTCACACAATTATGTAGATCATAGTTCATACAATAATTTGTCAAGTACCAGAAATGATAACTCATATAAAAGACTTTGATAAATATCTAAATTGAATAAATCCTATACAAAAAAGATAAATATCTAATTGAATAAATTCGGTAGAATTTTGATTGATAAGTTGGGAAAAAGATCCTAAATCCTCCGGGTGAAATTTAAGGTGTGTTTGATTGGTGGATTTTACTCATAGGGATGAGTATGAAAGTTATTATTGTTGTTTGGTTGATAGATTTTTTAGAACACTATTATGTACTTCGAATATCTCATCAATTAAAAAATTCATATCCAAATAAAATAAGAATTTCATTCCCTTATTCAATCTCAAGCACTACTATTAATAAGTATTTGATATACATACCCATTCTCATTCTCATTCTAATTCTAATTCTAATTCTAATTTCTATGTGCTAACCAAACACACCCATATATTCCTTCTTTTTACCCTCGCTCGTACACTTGCAATTTGCTGCTTTGTTCTCCGGGATCCCCTTTCTCTCTTCATCCATCGCCGTCATCTCCTCGCGGCTGCGCCACCTCTTGCTCGCGAAGAAGGTGAGGGATATGCAACTATTTTATTCCTTAATTATCTGCTGTCAATATCTGGAGGCCAAGTATTTTAGCTACTACGTAGGGGAGGGTGTAGAGCGTAGGGTTGAGAAGGTAGATTTAGGGTTCGCCGAGGATTGATTGATTCTTTTGCATATCATTAGGTGTGGGGAAGTATAGTTTTCCGGCCGGCGCTTTTGTAGTTTGGTGGAAAAGAGGAAGATAATTTCAAAAGGTCGCCACCGCCTCTGCTCAGTGCTCTTACCTTCGCGACTGCTTTCTCCGATCCTCGCTCCTCTCGCCGGTCATCGCTGCTTCTCTCCAAGGTTAGTTCATCCCCTCCATATATCTTGTATAAATCCATTATATAGTAGTAATGAACTCCATATGTCACTGCTTTTAATCCATTGTTCTTTTAATGAAAAATGCCCTTTTTTTTTTTTGTTTAGGGTTTAGGGAGGAAAGCATGTCTGAAGAGGGAAGAGTGCATCCCAGCTGTCGGAATGCATCAAATCCTTACCATGAATGCAGTGAATATTGCTTCAAAATAATTGCTGAAGCAAAGCGGATGAAACAAACAGAAACTGGTTAGTCTCATCATTTTTTCCTTAACCTGTTTGTCTTATGAATATTCAACATAGATATGCATCTTGTTGAGTTCAAGTGTGAATATATTACTTCTTATTGCATATAAGCTTTATAATTGGAATCCTGTGCCCAATGGACTGATGATTGATCCATATTGCTTGTGTGTTCTTATACCTTTTCTGATTTATGAGGATATGTCCTTCTCTTACACTGGCCATTGCATATATGATCCAATATTTCTTAGATGCTATTTGGAGTAATTCTCTATTCTTTTCCCTGTGGCTAAGAGTAACCCCCCTCCCAAAATGATGGATTCCCAAATTCCCTTTGTCCCATTGAAGTATAGATGTACTGATTTTCAATCTAAGAAACAATCTAAGCAAAGATGCCCTATGCATTACTTTATCAATACTAGAAATAGGACAACAATTTCATAGCCATCTATTCTGAGGCATCTCTTAAACATGGACCCTAGAGTTCTATGTTCCATAATGTGTAGGGTGTATGAAGTTATATTATGTCTCAAATGAAAGTTAAGGGTTGTTATCTTCTGCAATGTATGGAGTTCAATTTCATAAACTGTCTTTGACCATACGTCTTTTATGTTTTACTATTCCAGAAGTAGTGCAACCTAATGATCGTGATATTCAAGCCCATTCAGTTGATAACTCTGATAGGGATGAGGATCCTCATGGGGAAAAGGATGGCATGAAAAGTCACAGTGATGGGGATGGAGACACCAATACCATGGATAACATGGCAGTAGATTTGGCCAATCTTACAGGGAGAAAGAAAAAGTTGTTTGAGCTAAGGTTAAAGATGGTAATAGTAAAGCCCCTTGATTTTCATTTGTAGTTTTGTAGGGAGCGTTGCAATATTCTCTATCTTATTCTCATTTTATTTATGCCACCTTGAACAGAATGAGGCAAGAAAGGCCAATCAAACTGCCATGGTGACAGAGAAGAGAAAAATGGAAACTCCAGCGGAGTCTAGAGGCATGTCTAAGCAAAAATGGCTTGAGGAAAGGAAGAAGAAAATTGGGAAATTGCTTGAATCAAATGGATTGGAGATGAGTAAGGCATATATGCTTGATACGCAAGAGTCTGCTGAGGCAAAGTATAAGAAGTGGGAGAAGGAGCCTGCTCCAGCTGGTTGGGATGGTATGTTAACTTTTGCTCACTCTATAATCCAACTATAATGATTACAAGATTTATGTTAAATACTTAAATATATGATCTCTACTTGTTTTGCGGTTTTGCCCTTCCTGCACACAATGCAATACGAGTATAAACCATAAATGGGTTGTGATTAGACTTGATAGTGCATGTTGGACTTATTATTACATGTCTTTGTATTGAAAATTTGTTCATTGTCATGTTCGTCCACTTTTTTGCAGAATATTTCATCTTTTTGGTAATTGAGAATTTTACTTTTTTGTACCCCCTGTTTTGCAGTTTTTAATCAGAAAACATTATACAATGCATACAAGAAGAGAACAAAGAACATTCAGGTTGACCTTGAAGAATACAATAAAATGAAGGAGGCCGATCCCGAGTTTTACAGAGAAGCTTCAAGTCTTCAATATGGGAAGGTGTGTACTCTTTTGTTTTTATCATTTTTTTTTAAAAGCAAATAAGTACTCCCTCTGGCCATTTTACATAATACCTATCATGTTTATTATTTATTGGTCAAACCAACTCTACTTCTAATGTATCAGTCAAGCCTCTTTGACTAAACCAGACACATAAAACGACTCCGCCCCCCCCAAACAAAACCAATCAACTAATGCCCTCTTAGTGTTAACATATTAAATTAAAGACTTGTGATCATGTTCTTCAATTGAGCAGGCTACAAAAGTTTCGGATGACAAGGTTGATAGAATGGTGAAGGAACTCACGGACCGAGACGAGAAGCGCAAAGCATTTAGTAGGAGGAGAAGGTACCATGAAGAGAAGGATATCGACTCTATCAACGATCGTAATGAGCACTTCAATAAAAAGATCGAGCGAGCTTTTGGAAAATACACCCTGGAGATCAAGAACAACTTGGAGAGAGGAACTGCCTTACCTGATTGAGTTAGCAAGCCATTAGATTAAGAGTTTTGAGTACGGTACAATTTCTAGTGTAATGTTCATACATAGCCTGATGCTAATGCATTCCAGCAATTCACATGTAACTTATGCAGCCATGCAGATGCTGGTTTGATAATATTTGCATGATTTGGGGATTGGGTGTAAGAATGGTTTTTTCTTGACACATCATGTAATAACATGTGTGGCATTGTTATAGAAGTCTGCCATGTTTAAATTCAGGTAGTGCAGCTGCTGTGTTTATAAGGTATTCCATGATTTGTTTTGTTTTTTGTTTTTTGGTTAGGGTCGCCTTGTGGACTTCATAGAAATGGTTATAGAAGATTTTGAACATCAACTCTATAGTATAGTAGGGACTAGGGAGTAGTAAATAGTAATAGTTGTAGGCTTTGGCCTTTGGGAGTACTTTGGGTGCTCCATAGTTGTATATACATATAGGCACCTTAGAGAAAGCCTTCATCTTCCTCTTTTCTTTAATACACTCTTTAAATTAAATTTTGGATCCAAACTAATCACCATCAAAGTAGAACTTTAAAATGCTGAGCATTAATTGAGGTTAGAATCTCAGTCATGAATTAATTCAAAATTTCAAACCTCATTAATTGAGTTTAGAATTTCATTCATGAATCAATTCAATTCAAATCTCATTGAAAATAGCAAATAGTGGCGGAGTCACAATAGGATCAACTAACACACTAATTTGTCATTCCTATCGTCAAAACCAAACCTAGTCTATCGCCCGCCATTAATAGCTTCTAAAAATTTTCAATTTTCGTTAAAAACGCAAATTTGTCATTCCTATTGTCAAAACCAAACCAAACCTAGTCTATCGCCCGCCATTAATAGCATCTATTCCATTGGAAATTAGGCAAACGATTCCGAAATGTGTGGATGTTGTGGTGTTTCAGAAATTTTCAATGAAAGTTTGTTATCCTTACTAAAACTAGTACCTAACCTTCATTAGCACTATAGCAGCTTCAAATTTCACCTAACATCACTTATTCTATTTCAATCCCAACTTGGTCAAATTGAAAAGGAAACACAACACACAAGTTTGTCTGTAAGTTTACACTTGTCCGCTTAAACTACCATCCATAACTCTGCAACTCTTTCGATTCACCTTGCCCGTCTCCATCACTCCCAACCACCTTTTAATCAGTTCAAACACATTTTCATTGCTTAGTAGTTCCCGATGACCACCACACACTCCCACCCTTTCCACTGCCTCAAAATTATCAGCCTGCAGATGAAAATTTTCGTGATATGAATGCAAATTCTTGGAAACAACCCAGACCACTCGGGACACTCGTTCATGCAAATTCAGTTCATCATATATATGCAGAAAGTTTGAGATAATGATTTGTAAAGTAATTTGGAAATGAATAGAAAACTATGAACTTTATAAATCAAGGAAACAGGAAGAGAAACTAAAAGATAAAAAAGCACCGTACATTTGCTGATTCAGACGGAACAGTTCCATCGCCATCCACATAGGAGTATTCAGGCTGTAGCATATTAAAGTAGTCCAAATAAGTAAAGACTCTTGGGGGCAGTTTACAAGGAAAAACTTAATCTCTTCTAATTATGCATTTAAATCAAATTAAATTAATCTGATTAATGCATACAATGACATGCAACTTACTTACCAGTGTATGGCAGATATCAGATAAATCCTCGATTGGTTCTTTTTCTGAACCGTAACTGCAAATCATATACATACATGTCAGATGTGCATGTTCTTGAGAGTTACATACAGAAGACACGTATTATAATGTGCATAAACTATTAAACTTAGGGTTTTAGGCTGTTCAAATTCAGGAAAAGTTAATGTATGTATGTAAAATTTTGTACTATATTGACCCTTAACCTACTATGAATCTCCTAATTTGAGATGCATGCTAGTCACATACCAAACATCAAAAGGTGTGTCAAAAGCTGTTCCATAGATGTTATAGAAATCAATTCCCTTCGGTAGTTGGGCACTTTGAACAATTTTACGAGTACCAATGGCCCAATTGAGAATTGAAAAGTTGAAAGGTAGAGCAACTGTATTCCCATTATATTCCATCTGTAACATGAAAGACAGAAATAAGTTCAAACATTCCTTAAATAAAAGGTTGTTTTCTCATGTAGATATTGTAGCCAGGTGTAATACCTCATTTGTCTTTAATGCTTCTTCAAATAAGGTCACACTTTCTTTAGGGCCATAAGACTCCAGCTCAACCGAAGTCTCTCCATCCTCGGACATTTTTCGCCACACCTGAATTTCAGGTGTCTTGCTCCACTGGAAGTCGGGGTTTGGCAGCATCTCATAGATTGATGGACATTCTACTAACTAAGCATAACATTGAACTCGAATCAATCTAAATGTATCAAAGGGAAAGGTAAAGACAAGTGAAGAATAAAAAGGGTTTTCAAAAAGACAGCATATTTTTTAGAATACAATAAACATTACCAAGAAAGTTCATTGAACATTGGAAGAAAACAATCACCACACATTGAGATGAAGCACAGTAGCTCACTGTTTACACTGGACGTATACATCTCAAATAAAATCGGGGTAACCATTCCTTTTGTATAACTTACCAGTTGATGCATTGTCCATCGAGAAACAAAAAAGTAGCTTTCAAAGCCTTCAACAAATTGCACCCCAGTTAACAGAGAATCATTAATGCATCCCGGTGCACCTGTTTAGCAAAATACAGAAGTCAAACATTCAAATATAATAGAGATATAGATGAGTAAATACAATTATTATCATTAGCATATCATGTGACAGTTATTCTCATTCATAGTCTCTTAAACTCTCTTACATGCATTAAATACAAATGTATACAAATTTGCCTGATCTTTTGTGCTCACTGTTCTAGGATCATCTATGTTTGAACCCAAACCTATTAAATTGTTTCTTCATTGCCTTAGATTGGTCAAATAACAGTCAAAATCTTTACTACTCCCAAGAGTGTTGATAGAAACCATATAGATGAGTCAGTCAAAGAAATTACCTTGAAACGGACAGGCTATGACAATCCACTTATTTACATACTTGGAGAATACCTGGAGTTGAATGTTTTGATACACTGTTAATGCTTTTTTTAAGGAACAAAGAAAAGAGAGACAATTGCAAAACATAATGCCCTGAAAGTTCATGTCCCATGCAGAATGATCAATGATGAGATAGTGAATCAGGGAAAAGAAAGAAAATATGGTTAACAGGTGAAGCTAGAGATATGAGAAGTTTGCTATGAGTGAAATGAAGTTTTAGCACAAGACGAAGAAGAGTAGACTAAGCCTACTCTCTTAACCTATACTCTCACAACAGAGACTAATGAAAACTTGGCTTTGAATTTCATAGTCAAAAGGAAATCTTGCATACATCAGTATGAAGTGACATAAAAGATGTAACAAGCAATCCACCCATTGAATGTGAAATTATGTTGATTTTCCTTCCCCCAGATGCTTGATATACAGCCTCCAGCTTTTCTTTTAAGGCATCCATTGCCTGGTCAATCCTGCACCCATTAGCTAAAAAGATTGCTAAGAACCACAAACATATTCAATAAGAAAGGTTGAAAAGAAGTTTATTTGTTTGTTAGTAAAATCAACAGAAAGAGAAGTTAAAAATAGGGAAAATTTTCAAAGGAAGAGACTAGAGAGAGATATTAAGAATTTAAAGAGTACCTATTGCTTTGTCGAAAGTCATAGCCAAATCCAAACAGTGTAGTTCCTTTCTTGTATCCACATCCAACAAGCATATCAATCATATCATGAAAATGGTATGCAGTGCTCAAATGCATACACTTTACAAGCTGGAAATCAAAATTACAAGGTATAAAGACATCCTTATCACAGAGCAAAAAAAGAGAAATCTTGAACAGACATAAGAAAAATGGTTGAGAAAATTCTGTACACAAAATGAAATTGAAACAACATATCTTCAATAATTAGAGATCTTCCAACCCATTCTGCCATCTTGCAATAAGTGTCACATAATTTTTTTTTTCCTCTTTCCATAAGTAATCTCCTTCTTACAACAGTGACAAGTTTGGAAACAATGAATCTTATAGAATTTGTAAGACTTGTATCCTTCATTTGAATTAACAGTTTGTCAATGCATACCCAATCCAAGTATCCGCTACTCCATACTTACAGTGGAATTCTGATAAATTCAAAACTAGTACCAGTACTTTACCAACTAAACAAACTACTAGTTTAAAACCTGAGTCAAGTATAAAACTCCACCATTTTAATCATATAGCTTAACTGTTGTTTTAGTGATGCCAGTAAGTAATAATCTCAAAAATGAAATAGGATTAGAATTGTGTCACACGGAAAGATGCATCAAGGTCCCACCCAACCAGATATACACTTAAACCCCAGCTTGACTAAAAGCTTAAAGCTATCGGCTTTGGTCCCTCCATTGTATATGCAAGTTGTCTGCTCAAGTGATTTGATAATTAAGTTTCCAATTCAGGAAAATTTGGTAAAGTCTAGTATTAGCACTAATTATTATTCTCAATCAAAATAAAGCAGTAGGAAAGCAGCAAGCATAGTGTATAATAAAATGAACTCCATTGTCGGCCATGCAACTAAACTATATTTTGCAAATTGAAAGAGAAACTCACTGTTGAAGGATCCAAAATATCAATTGCATATAGGCCATAATCATCTTGAGGAACCACAATTTCGCAGGTATCATCCAAAGACTCCGTGTACCCTTAAGATCAGATAATTAATCAATTTCTAGAACTAGCTAGATGACAAATTTATCAAAAAAAAGTAATTAATTAAAAGAATAAAGCAGTGGAAGTATGGTGCATGTAGTTGTGCTGCAAAAGCATACCGGTTTGGGGATTGTAGACAGACCAGAGCTTCTTCCTGAACTCTAGGTCGGCGAGGAGAATCCGGACCCAAACCCGGGTCTGGAACCCGGTTTTCTTGTTCTTGGAGTTGAGAATGGAGCCGGCTATGCCCGACACGAGGAGAACCGGGTCCCGGTCTGCGACGGCGACGGCGTCGCCGGAGCATTTTTTACCCCGAAAGCAGTTCCCAAGCATTTGCAGGTCGGATATGGAGCATTGAAGTAGAGCGAGTAGGTTGGTAGTTTATAGAGTTAGGTGATAGTACTTCATTTGACTAAAATGGTACGCTGTTCTAGAAGAAAACTCGTCAGCTTTATCATTTTCAAGATATATACAATAATATGAAAATGGAAAATACTACATGTACTTTTATTCTATACTTCAAATTTTTACTCTCACACTTAAAATAGTGATATAAACACTTTCACATAGATCTCCTTGAAGAAAATAACCTATCAGAGAGTTCGCTACATCAGAGAGTAAATTTGAAGTAGTAAGATTTGGAAATACGTATAGTAAAATTCTATGAAAATTATACTCTCAAATTGTAGTCTCAATACTATATGCAATGGTATTTGGAAATACGGAGAAAAAACAAATCTTGCTAAAACTAATTAGCAATAGGAGAAAAAGGTTAAATATATGTCCTGCGGGGTTAACTTAATTGGTTTGATTTATCATCTTAAAATATTGTTCTATTGGTATCATCTTATATGTGCAAAATGTACAAATAAAGAATGAAAATTTGGAGTGATTTCTGATTTACATTCTCTAGCGAATCTTAAACATAGGGGTTCTGGAGTTTAGGTTAGTCTAGCGAAATTTAATATATCAAAAAAAAAAAAAAGTGGATTAAATAAACCTTTCAAGTGTAGGCCAAAGAGTGATGAAGTCCTTAATTAAGTAGGAATGTCAATGGGGCGGGGTGGGTGCGGGGATATGCACCCGCATGGGTAATGAAATTCCTACCACATACTCACCCCGAGAATTTTGCGGGTGTGGATAATTATTAATATTACACTTAAATCTAATAAACATTTTATACTACAACTCTAATTATTACATAGATTTTTTGAGCCAATAAAATTAGTACTAAATTGTTGTTTGATTTGAGGTGCTATTGTGCAATCATTATTGTGTGGACCATATTTTGTATAAGGTAAATTAATGTACATTAAGTACAAAAATAATGTTCATTGTATTAAGGGGATGCATGTACATTATTTTTGTTCTGAGTGTACATTATATTATATAATGTCAGTACAAAAATAATGTACATTCAGTATATTAAAAATGTACTTTTTGTTATGGTCCACATAACATTGTGTGGACCATGTCCACACAATAATTTGCCACTATTTGTGCTAAGCACCTTCTGTTCAAAAGGTATTTCTGTAACTCTTTTTGAGGAATGGTTATAAGATCGAACTCAAGTATAGAACATATACTACATTGTAAAAGAAAATAGTACTAAAAAATTGTTATTTTTTACGAAGTATTTGTTAGTACTTGTCTCCATCATATATCTATCTAATATAACCAAACATATCATGCCATTGGATAGAGGAGATGCGGCGATAATATATAAGCAAATTTTTTTGGATAAATTCCTTGCCATTTAGCCATTTAATTTGGCGTGTAATTACATGTAATAATTTGTCATATCACTCACACACACGTATATATGAAAATTTTTATTATATCAATTCATAACAATATTTGTGTAATATTGAAATGGTTTCAAATAATGCATAATACAAATGAAAATCATTTTTTAATAATATCATGTAGAATTTATTATTTTAAAGTAACATTTCAAAATAATATATTATTTTAAATTTTTCATGTTTTATTAAACAGCACTTATAATAAGCTATAAGTTCTACTTAAAAAATTAAAGCTTTTTGCTTTGTTATATAGCAACTAGCTATGGTTTAGCAGAACTGACTTTATAAAGAATGAATAAAAGACATGTGATGAGCATATAATTATTTTATCATACTAATATTAACAATTTTATCATACTAATTAGTAACAATACTGACTAAAATACAATAATATTTGATTATTTCAAATAATGCAGGGTATCACTGAATATTATTTTTAATAATATTATGTAGAATATGAAATGGTTTGAATTATACAAGCTATTATCATGGATTACAAGGAAACTAGCTTCCACAAACGGAAGATAAAGCTCTGAACATGAACTACCCAAAAAACTTCAGAACTTGGAACTCGATCGGAATTTATGGCAATATCTTAGCCTTCTATTTTACTACAGTTAACTTAGCCCAATAGAGGCTGTACATCAAGAATCCAAGTATTCAAGAAGAAAATTTGTATAGACATTAAAATTGGAGATCAAAACAGAAAATACTATAACATACATATACCACTCAAAAATTAACAAATTGTAGCATTCAATAAACTCTCAAAATCTCTCATTATTTGCCATGCATCGTTGAATTCAACCGTCTTTTCCATCTTCTCCAATGCGATTCTGGCAGCTTCTCTCTTGATTTTGAGGTCGGCCTCTGCCCTCATCCGTACAAGTGTTTGGGCAGCTTTGATTTCTTCTTCAACCCTGGCTTTCTCTACCATCTCCAGTCTCTCTCTTTCTTGTTGTTGCTTCATATGGTCAGCAATATCTCCCTGATTGAGAGGAAGGTGATTCGCTTTGAAAATGAGATGTGCATAACGTTTCTTCATCTCGGCAGCACGTAGAGCCTTTGTTGGAGAAAGCTGATGAGCATTATCAACAGTAGTAGTAGTAGTGCAAGCATGATCAACGGCGGCGTTTTCCTTGGGCAATAGCGGCGTTTTCTTTTGATGAATCTTAGGTTTGTTTTCGCAATTTCTGTGAATCATCTTCTTCGGCAGCGCCCTCTCGCAGTTCTCTAATACCCCAGTACTCCATTCTCCGCCGCCTCTTAACTTCTACTTTGAAGTCATCATCAGAACCTGCACGCTTCTTGGATTCAGTGATCATCTTCAAACCCTTTTCCCCATCATCTCCTTCCCTTTTGTTGAATGAAATTCTGATCTTAAGATTGGGTAGCCCTCGATCACCAGCTAGAATCGTCATTGCCGCGAGCGAATTGAAATCAACCTAAATGAACACCCCAAACAAATCCCAAGTACCCTAAAAACAAAACTCAGATCGATGGAGAGATGAGAGTGACGATATGATTGATGAAGAGAGCGATATGATTATATATGGAAATAAACAATTGAAGAAAGTGACGATCGATCGAAAGTAGCTAGTGAGAGCGCAGCGCTTCCCTTACAACTAACTGAGATTAAGAATCTTTAAATAGATACATACGGATGGAATAAGATATCTTATTGTTAACAGAATGGCGGTTACACTTAATTCTTCATTAAATTTCAATAGCTTTTTGACATTAGTTCTTGATTCTTGATTCTTGAATCTTGATTATGTCATCCTATTCTTCAAAATAAATATTACTTACCTCCCAAGTTTAGTTTAAATCAATGTTGCACAAATCGCGTCTAGGCGCCAATTAATTGGTGCTGGTGCTGGCGCCTGGCTGCGGACGATTTGGCCAGAATTGGCCTCCTCCGCGGCCCGGCGGCTAGGCGGCCGCCTAGCCGGCTAAACCGGTCGAGTTTTCTATTTTTTTTTTTTCAAAAAATGATTCTTTTGCTCTTAATTTTAATTTTTTTTTATGTATTTAGATGGTTTTAACAATATTCAAAACGATTTTACAATCACTTACAACCCTAGTGAATTTTAAAACTTTTAGGTTTAATTTTTATTATTTTTTTAAAAAAATAAAAAAATCAGCACCTAGGGAGCGCCTAACGTGTTTTGCAACCTTGGTTTAAATGAAATAAATTATTAAATAACCCTCAACATATAAAATTTTCATTTCATTTATAAAAAGAAAATTTGAAAAATATTATTATTATTTCAATAATGTTAATATTAAATAACCCTCAACATAAATAAGATTTTTTAAGGATGAGAAACCGTACCTTACCTTACATGGCAGAGCCATTATATTGTCTCAAAACACCAAAATTAAACAATATATGTATACATAAATTACATGGAGCCGGAGGAATGTATAGCTACAAATTAAATATGTACATTATAAAGAGAAAATGGTAATTTTAGTTTATTAATTATAAATATATATATTGTAGACTTAGTCCGTGAATTATTACCATATATATAAAATTTTCATTTTTTTTTTTGAATACACAAAATTTTCAATTTAATTATGTGTAAAGTGATACTTTTAATCCACCATTAACAAATTCTATTAAAAATAGTGTTATACATTAAAATTTCAAATTAATGAATGGCATATTTGTTATTTTATAGAGTTTTCTTAAATTTCTTCAACTAAATCTTCACATATACAAATTCTCTTTATTCGTAATATATAAAAAAATGTTAGTTTTCTAAGATTTATAAACATGCATATGCTTGTTTTCATTTAGTTTTAATGTTAAATGTCAATATGTTGGTTAAAGAATGAATTGAATTTATCTTTCTAAATAATCATTCTAGGGTGATATTTATATCATCGGTTGTATATTTCTTCGATAGTGCAATATATAACGTAATTAGTATGTATGACTTATTGGTAATGTTTTTATGTCATACAAAGATTCTTGAGAAATATTTAAGCAAAATGGATGCTCAAATAACCAACATTGATTTGTGAATTATAATATTTATATGCATATCAGTTTTTATATCAATTTTTAAGTTTGCAAATTATTTAATATCAATTTAATTGACCCGTATCCATTATCTGTGCTGCTGCTTTCTTGAGTGTTTCTCTTTTCAAATTAGTAAATTTGGTGACCAAAATCAACTAGAAAGGAGTAGGTATTCTCTTATATATCTTTCCAATTATTTATTTCATCATTAGTCAATTCAATTGTTTCCAGTTTCAATCCTACTAAGATTATTCAACATTTGGTCCAGCAAGTATTATTTTTCTCAGATTCGGTGTTTTCCATGTAACCAAATCTTCTGTAGAAAATGGTAATAAGATAAAAAATCATACACACAAAGAAATAAAATGGTTGTTTCTGAGTGGAATCGTTTCTGAAAAATAAATATACAGAAATTGAAAGAAGCAAAGTCCATTCTTAATAGCAGTCTCCCATTCTTGAACAACCCAGTTTCCCAGTCTATATATCTTACTTACCACCCAAAAAAAAACAACAATTAAGAAGTATAATATTGTTGAATAATAACCCACAGGTTCTTACTCATTGTTGTTCAGATAGTGATGAAGATGAGGAGGATCGCGCCTGGAAAGAGTCACCTTCAACCCATATTTCATGTAGAGTGTGAGAGCCATTTTTGGCTTGACTGGATGATTCTCAACCACCTTCACATGGTAGCGGTACAGTATAGATGCAGCTGCGAATTTCATCTGGTAATATGCGAAATCTTTGCCTAAGCAGAGCCTTGGGCCGCCATTGAAGGCGGTGAACTTGTAAGCAGACTCACTCATGAACCTTCCATCTCTTAGCCATCTCTCTGGTTTGAACTCTCTGCAATCTTTTCCCCACAGGCCCTCCATTCTCCCCATTGCGTAGATTGCGTAGATCACTTTGGTTCCCTTCTTTAGCACTGTGCCGTCTGGGAAAACATCATCTTCAAGAACCTGTAAGCATTGAAGAGGAAAGGTGGCTAAGAAATGGATGGTGGAAAACCATTGCTTTTGTTTCTGCTACACTAATTTTATCAGGTTTCTCAGCTTATGCTTGACTAATCCTAAGCCCCCAGAATCTCGTCCAAGAGCTGCTAGAGGAGGTAAACCGCTAATTGCCCCCGTAGCCCGTCAGTCCCCAAGTTCACACCCCTTGCCTAACCCCCACACTGACGTTGGAGTAATGTTTTAGGGTGATTGGTCGAAGCAACTGAGTTAGCTCTACGGGGCATTTTTTTAGTCCAGTTTCTTGCCTATTATGAATATATGATCCTATTTGGTAAAATAGATAGTCTATCAGCCAATTTTAGCTGATCTGACCACTATTAGCTGTTTGATTTAGTTAAACCATCAATATAAGTGTTTGATTAATTAGCTTTTTGTAACAACTTATTAGTGCTCCAAAATGTTAAAATTCAATAAGCTTCTCAAAGTAGTTTTGTGAGAAAGTTATTTTGTATGTAATCAGCAGTTAATTTACCAAACATTTTTCTACAATCAGCTAATACTGTTGGAAATTATGGAATTTCCGACCACCTGAAAATGATCTTAAATCAAGTCGAAAGCCTTGTTCCGACCACTTTCGGCATCCGAAAAAATCTTTGTTGCTATTTTCGACCACTTTTTGCTTTCGACTTGATATAAGATCACTTTCAGGTGGTTGGAAATTCCATAATTTCCAGCAGTGTAATGCTATCAACTAGTCAAACCACTAATCAAATCAGCTAAGAACCATTTACCAAACACCCCCTATATGTTTATCCTTTGGGTTGTTTTTTAATGGTGGAAGAAAGTGGTAATTTCTTGGTGTGGTTGGATATGGTGAAATAGCAAATTCTGGGAAGATTTTTACCTCCTTGTGATCAACAGGAACTGAAGGGTAGAGTCTGAGAGCCTCTGAAAGAGCAGCCTGTAGATAGTCCATTTTCTTGATCTCTTCTGGCTTGAATATCAATGTGTCCTGATTCTCTGTGTTGGTACTACCACCATTCTCCCTGGAGTTCAAAACCTGACAGATTTCACCCAGGATTCTCTCCTCCACCTCGGGTTTTCGATTCAGGAGCCAGAAAAACCAGCTTAGTGCCACAGATGAAGTGTCTCTCCCAGCCAATATGAAGTTCACACAAATGTCCCGCAAGAACTTATCCGAAAATGGCCTCCCATCTTCACCTCTCAGTCCCATGAACACAGTTAGCAGATCTGATCTCTGTTTGCTGCCGTCTGATGCCAGGGACAGCTCCTTCTTCCTCGTCCTGATCACTTCGTCTGCAAACTCGTCCACCTTTTTCAAAGACTGCTTCAGCCCCCGTTCTGTCCCCACCCCGAGAGCCCTCATGCTCCTCCATATAAACGTGGGGAGGACAAATCGAGTGATAGTTGCCTCTGTTGCAGCCTCGAAGGCCTGCGCGAATGGGATCTCTGGCAACCCGGGGCGGAGGCACCCCGGGTCGACTCCAAAGGCAATGATGCAGACGTTGTCGAATGTGAGGCGGAGGAGAACGTCCTGCAGATCGAGGGGCACGGATTGCTCGATACAGTCCTCCATTACAGGCAAAAGCCTCGAGTGGACGAGCTCGAGGAGGGAATTAGTAGTGAGGTTTCTAAATTTGGCAGAATGGAATTCAAGGCTGGCTGGTTTCCTCTGGCTCTGCCAAATCTCATCATCTGCGCTGAAAATCCCATCCCCCAGAAGATCCTGGACCGTGCTGCGAAAATACTCCCCTTTCGGGAAGTTTGAGAATCTTGTCTTGAGAAGATACTCCAGGTTTCTTGGATCAGAAGTGACCACACAGTTGAGATTAGTGAACCATGGCCCTCTGAAGGTGAACGTCCCATTCATGCGGCAAAGAACCCCAGAAATCCACTCATACATGTCCTCCTGGAGCCCAAGAATCAAAGAAGGTAACATCCCCACAATTGGCCAATAAGCTAACCCATGTTTCTTCCCTTGACGCAGGGCATGTATTGTCACGAAAACCGTGACCGCGAGGGCCAATTCCAGCATCTGAACCTCGGGAAAGAAAAATACGCCGCCACTGCCACCACCGCCGCCTCGGGAAGGTTCGGTGCCGGAAGAATTGGAGGAAGAAATAATAGGCATGTTTTGAGGGTTGATTATGGTCATAATGTTGTGAGAGTGCATGGGCATGGTGTGAGTTATATGGTAGAGTTGGCGTGCATGAGTCTATGTGCTTATTATAGCGGTTTTAATTTGGTGAGCTGAAATTTTGAAGGCTGCTCTTTCATGTGACTAACTGTATGTATGGAGGCTTAATTAATTGGTTTTCACTTTACTAGGAAGGAAGATTGTAGTTTTCTTGAAATAGGGTTTATGTGTTTGGAGTTATTATTGATTGATTGTTTTGGTGGTGTTGTGTTGTGTTTTGCATGCTTTCCATTGTTGGGTTTTTGTTGACCGTTTGGGGAGGCTTTGGGTTTAGGAGGATAAGAAGTGGGTGTGACAGTTAACCTAAAGTCCACCCATTTTTTTTGCTTCCTTTTTTTCATTTCATTTTTGACTCTATATCTCCAAATTTAAAATTATACATATTAAATCATCATTAATTATTAATAAAATAAGTCTTCTATGTAACCGACGAATAATATTTTTTAGAATAAAAAATTATTATTATATTTTAACTAAAAAGTATTACAGGTATCACGTAGTCTTATACAAGACTTACTCATTAATAAAAGAGTGAGTGAGTTTTTTGTGAAATATCCGTGAAACGGGGGATTGAACAATTCATATACTTTCTCAACCTATTGAGGTACAAAGAACCAATAACGCCTCTACCAAAGCTTGAACTCACAACCTTCCAATTAGAAGTTCAACCCAAATACCATTAGACCATATAATCTTAGTGAAATTAAGCAGTTATTTATGAGAAAAATTGTAATTTTTTAAATCAAAATGTAATATTAGGAGTTGAAGAGTTACTTATGAGATAATTTGTAATATTTATGAATGAAAGTGTAATACTTATGAAAAATTTGATTCCTCTCATAGATAAAAGGAATTTTCCGCCAACTATTATGTAGTGTGATGATACTTCTGTTACCATTCATATACTTTCTCAACCTACTAAAATACAAAGAACCAATAACGCCTCTACCGAGACTTGAGAACTCACAATCTTCCAATTGGAAGTCCAACCCGGATACCATTAGACCATATAGTCTTAGTGAAATTGAGCAATTATTTATGAGAAAAATTGTAATTTTTTAAATCAAAATGTAATATTAGGAGTTGAAGAGTTACTTATGAGATAATTTGTAATATTTATGAACGAAAGTGTAATACTTATGAAAAATTTGATTCCTCTCATAGATAAAGGGAATTTTTCGCCAACTATTATGTAGTGTGATGATACTTCTGTTACCATTCCAAATGAGTGGTCACGAACCCTAGTGAGAAAATATAGAACATATACTACATTGTAAAGAATCATGAGTATTTAAGAAAGATTAACATGTTTTTTAAGAGTTCTACTACATATACTTTCAAATCCTACTCCTTCAAATTTACTTTATAATGTGGCGAGCGCCGATAAGTTATTTTCTTAATGTAGGCCAAATTAAGTATTAGAATGGGAGTATCGAGTTCTAATATATGTACTTTCAAATTTTACTTCTTAATGTGACGAGCGATGATAAATTATTTTCTTCATGTGGACACAATAAAAATATCTACATCAAAATTAAGTGCAAGAATAAAAATACATATAGTATTTTCCGTTGGATCCGTATCATATGTACTACCTTTTTGTTTTAACAGTACGGTTTAATAATAATTATTGAAGTATCATTGCTAATGACGACACGTGGTAGCTATGCTGGACTAATTGAGATTCATGAAATTTCTTGTACTCAAACCTGTTAGTTTTGGGGTACAATAATTGAGATGTTAGAGTAAACTTGGCATACACGAACACCTACCATTTGTGGTTTTGTATACTATTTGGTGTTCTAATTAGGTAAGTTATGAGCTTATGACATATATAGGATGCTGAAAAGTGATTTACAATAAACTTTATGTTTGTTGGGTTGACTGTTGTATTTAAAACTTAAAAGTGGTAAAAAGTCAATGATTCGTTTATAAATAGATTAAATAATGAAGAATTAAATTACATTTAAAATTGTCACCGAAATAAAGATAATATGATCACTTTTTATATTGACTAATTAAATTTGAAAATGTCACATAATCGAGCAGTAAATATAGAATTAACTCTACGTATCCACACGGGCTTAGTTCAAGATTTAGTGGACAGTATTTGGGGTAAGAGACCAAGGTTTGAACCTCGGTAGCGGCAGTGTAGGAATTATGTCCAAAATGGACAGATTCCTTGTGCGCACTGGCATTTAGCCCTGCGTGATTGCCTTTTGGGGTAAGAATTAAGTCTACGCTATGATACTGTATTATTTGTTATATTTAATTATTTTGTGATAAAATAAGTTTGAAAAAGTCTACAACCGCTACCTGAAGGTATGCATTGCGTGAAATCCGTCTTATGATTCTAAAGGCAAAGAGCTACAAGGAAGTAAACGAGCTTATTAAGTTTTCCATAGCTGATCGACTCAAACAAAGCAGGTCAATAAACCAACTCGAGAGTCAAATTTGAAACCTTATGAGTTATGATTAGTTGATTACCAACTCAACTGTCCGACTAACTTTGTTGGGATTGCCCCTAATAATAAATTAAACTCCTTTTTACTAAGGGAGATATAAGATTTTTAAAGGAAAAACTGTCAAATTGGCCGCCTAAGTCAAGTGGAGAGTCAATTTAATCAAATTAAAAATTAGGGACAAAATTAATAATTACAAAACAATTGAGGGACCAAAACAATAATTTTCCCTATTATGTATTATTTCAGATTAATAGTGTTGTTTTGTAGAATGATTTCCATAGCTTGAAAATACTTCGTTTTCACTCTACGATCTGTCTCCATTTCTAAATTTTTTTCCAACTTTCTTAAAATCCTTTATGTTTTTCCCTTGTTCACTTCGTTGTACTATTTATTTGAGTGCTCGAATAAATCATACATAATATTAATTTTTTGTATATTGAGAAATTGACGCTTCAAAGCTTTTAGTATTATTGGAGGAATCAAATCGATTTTAAGAAAAATGTAAATCACACGCCTTGGATTGACTATTTTGATATGAAAAATGACCAAACCGGAATTTTTTTAAAAAAAATTATTTTTGTATTTACACCCAATATGATGGGCTCATTGTGGGCATCAGACACTGCTCTTTTTACCTAATGAATCACTGAATAACCTTAATTTACTCATCTCCTATTATGTCGGATGAACTTCTAAAATTGCAATATGCGATTTCTAGTTTGATCATTGATGTCTATAAAGAGTAATTTCTTTTTTCTATTTTTCTATTTGTTGAGTTTGGGTTGTAGGACCCAACCCAAAATATATTTTAGGCACAAATAAACTAGCTAGGTTGCCCAACCACCACCTAAGTTATCTTAAAACACAAAAAAGGTTGGCAAGCTGCACGTATTGGGTATAGCCGTTTAACTCAAGTGTACTAATCCTTAATACTCAATTATAAAATAATTTTTTAATAAAAAAAAGTGACTGATTTTATGTTTCCCTTTTAATAAAGTTTCTTAATTTTCACATGCTTTATGTATTGTTATTATATTCATTTTTAGTAAAGTTAGCCAAGTCACGAAAAACTAATAAATATACAGAATTTATTAAAGTTGGCATAATTTTTTAAAAATATTAACAAAATTTGTAAAGAAATAATTATTCAAAAATGTAAAAATACGGAGTTTTTTTTTTTTTTTTTTTTTAATTTTTTATAAAGTATTGGACGAATACTAATTTTGTTATGTGTTGTGAAATTTGAAAGTGAGTCAACATTATATTTTATGGATATGTAATGAATTAATGACGAATTGCAATGACTTTCAAAAAATGACGAATTGCAAATGTGATAAAACAATCGTAGGCACGCTTTTGAAAATGAGATGGTTTTGCATGGGTGCCAATAGCCTGACTCTAAAATCCAAATGGGTAATCCCCCAAAAAATTCATTTAGTCATTAATAAATGGTTTGATTTGTATAAAAGAATTTATAAGAAATGAAATTCAAAATTATGAAAAGGATTAATGCAGATTTTATACCAATTATTTGTTATTTACGAAAAAAACTCGCAATTGTTATTTGAAAGTGCGCATTGGATAAACCGTGCCTTGTAACCTTAGCTATTATTTTGTTATTAGAAAATAAATTTTTGAGAATAATTACTATATAAAGGCTGAAATACCCTTACATAATAAAGCCGAGTGAGGTTAGTATTGTCCCAAATTAATGCCATTTTTTCTTCCCAAATGATAAGTGAAGTCAATATAACTCTAATTTCTCAAATTTAAGAAATTGAAACTCCAAGAAAAAATGTTCCTACCTATTAACCGAAAAATTAAAGAGAATTCACATATGAAACAATTAAAACTTTAAAGAATTTCAAATCAAGAAAACCAAACGACTATTTTAGTGTTGATTCTAACTTTCTAAGGCCAAAATGCTATATATAGACTAATTTTTTTTTTTTTTCACACACTAGAAGAAATGTAATTACAATAAGAGTGTTTGGAAACTAAAAAAATGACTTTTGAAAGTCATTTTCTGAATATTCATCATGTGTTTGTGTATTCAAGAAAAATAAATTAAAGTCAAATGAAATATTTATGTTCAACGAAAAAAAAAAAAAGTCCAACTTGACAAAAAATGTCTTCCTAACTAGATTTTTAGTTAGAAGACATTTTTCGAATTTTTTATTTTCTCATATTTATCCTCTATCTCATCTCGTAATTTCTAGATTCCAAATTAGTATTACCACTGATAAGTTACATATACTCCGGGTCCGTGCCATCGCTTACAGTCGGGTCGGGGTCTCGCGGTTTGGGTCTTGGCCTGCGGGTCGGGGTCAAAGGTGGCAGGTCAAACCCGAGATGGGTCAAACCCGCCACCTCGTTGACCCTATATAAGGGCTTCTAGCCCTTCATGTTGGCGGGGGGAGGGGGGGGGGGGGTCTCTCAGCTCTCTCTCTCTCTTAATCCTTCTCCACCCTCTCTCTATACACAAAACACAAATACATTCCTATGAATAAAAGAGACCATTTGGCCATCTCTCGGCTCTCTCTCTTAAGCTATGCTCTTCTCTCTACACCATAGATAAACATACAAGAACTTTATCAATAAAAGAAGAACATTTTGAGCTACTTATTGTCTTCTCTCTTCGTGTTCATACATATTGTATACTACATACATACATACTTTCTACAGTACATACGATCCGACCGACCACGGGAATTAGTACTATCAACCACCAACACTGTATAGTACCACACCAACACCACACCACCACTACTACTTATTAGTTATTATGGAGTATTATTATTATTATTATTATTATTATTATTATTATTATTATTATTATTATTTTAACAAATAATATCTCATTTTCAGGAAAATGAACTAAACAGAAAAAATGTAATTTCTTAACTTTCAGGCAAACACAAAAATATAATTTTCTAACATTTAACCAAATATTAAAAGTTAAATTATTTTCTAAAAATTATTTTTCAGAAATTGTAAAACATTTTCAGGTTTTTAAACCGACCCACTAAATCTATCATTAATTAGTGTATGGAGTACTTATATGCATGGTTGTAGCATAAGATCATCATTTGCATATTGTATAGGTTAATATACACGTTTTCAACTTACCATTCCATTCGTTTTAAATAACAACATTTTCAAAGATTTATCCATATCTAGCTGACATCTTATTATTAACCTAATGGATGGTACGGTTAAACTCATATCCAATAGACATTTTCAATCCAAAATATTCTTTGCTTTCCCTTCACCAAACAGTTGTACAAGTTAATGATTTGGCAACCTATTAACCATTGGTCGCAAGTTAGGCTTAACAAGTGTCTATTGTCATTTGAATAGGTTAATGATTTGGCAACCTATTAGCCGCTGGTCGCAATTCTAGTTTAGGCTTATGTCACAAGTGTCGTCGGTCATATCAAGTGGTTACGTGCATGATTGAGGCTATGCTCAACAACTTATTTCTTTGACCATTTGCATGCGGTGACCATTTTGAATTCTTATCTCGATTACCGTTCTAAATTTTAAAAGAAAAATAGCATTTTTTCTGTCCCGAGTTATATATTTATAATACTTTTTTTCACTGTTTTTCTTCCTGAAATGTTAAATAGACATATTTACTATTAAAATAAATATTTCATTTATTTTTTTTTCTCCAACAAAGTATGACCACAAATTAGTTCAAACCAAACAGACACTATAGCAACCAAATCAAAGTATTCCAATTACAATTCAGAATCGAAACTCGATATTTAGAGTTTATTAAAATCGCGAATCGGAACGGCCGGTTCATGTTCCGAATTGAAAAAAATAAGATACATTTATTGTTGAATTTAGACTATTTTAAAATAAAAGATAAAGTTTTAAAATAAAGACGGTTCAAAATCGCGAACCGGATCCAAAACTGCCAGTTCACGGTTAAAGATCCAGTTTTTTCGATTCGTAATTTTAATAAACTGAAATCCAAATATTGGGTTATGGATCTGAATCATAACCGGAAATTTTTAATTCGATTGGTATAGTGTCCGATTCAGTTCGAATCGAACTGTGGTCATCCCTACGTATACGCAATAATTTGTTGGAGAAGAAAAATAAATAAAACGTTTACTTTAAGGGTAGAAATGTCAATTTAATATATCAGGGGGAGAAATCGGACCACTTTTAGAATGATTGAAGGGGGTTAGTGTACTTACCTGAATAATTCAGGAGAGGAAAAGTGCTATATGTATATAACTCAGGAAGAAAAAATACCATTTTTTCAATTTTAAATAAGTGGTCATAAATTCATATTTTAGTGGTAATAACTTAAATTCTTTGAGTTAAAAATATTTAAAAAAGTATAGAAATATAGAATAGATATTACCGAGAAAAATGTACATTATATATGGCACCAAATCAAAATGCAATGATAATAATATTTACTCCTCCAGCTGAGGCTTTGAAAATGCATCCTGAAGCCTTTTGCAATCAAGAAGATAGGCAAAACCGTACGCCATGTTCTTCAAGGTTGCGTCGTGCAGTTCTGCGGAGGAGGTGGCGGTGGCGTCGGTGGAGAAGAAAACCCTAAACCCCCTAACAAAGGCCTCTCTTGCGGTGGTCTCGCAGCACAAGTTGGTCATCACCCCCGTCACAATCACCTCTTTTGCACCCATCTCACTCAGACTCTGCTCTAAGTTTGTGCCTACATATGTAGCCCCGAATAATGCACATAAATATACAAATAATAAAAATACATACAATGATAGTCATATTAGTTATGAGGAGGGCAAAATTTTTTATGAGACTATCTTATAGCTTGCAGATTCTTATTTGGGTTGAAATGATGATGTATTCTCTCTGTCCCATTTTATATAAATTAATTACTATTCATTGATCAAATTAACATTTTTTTCTTTGTTTATTTCTATTAGCATGTTATAAAAAATTTTAAATTTGATTTTTTTTTGTGTGTTTAATAATACTTTTAATGTAATTTCTAAACATATAAATTTTAGATATTAATTCTAAACTTAATATTATGAAAAATTAAACTGTAAATAATTTTAGTCAGGCCTCGTTAATCAAACCCGACATATAAAATGGGACGGAAGGAGTAATACACAACGCTAATTACGAATAAATTGTTTGTTACTCATAAGCTCACGCCTAAGTGTTGGCCAGCCGCCTAGACGCCTAGATTTACCACCGTAACCAATGATCTAGGCCAGCTGCCTAAGTGTCAACCACCTAGTCAATTAGGTCACCTAGTTGGTCAATTAGCTATTGTTCTATTTTTATAATAAATTATTTCACTCAAAATGACTTTAAATAACTCTAAATCCTTCAAATGTTTTTTAAATTAATATTTAATATTTTAATATTAACTATAAAGTATTAAATACTTTATAATTACTAAATCTTAAAAATAAAAATAATAACTAATTAAATAGAAAAACACGGGTGCCCAGGCCCGACCCGATCAATCGACGCTATGACATTCTTCATGCGCAAAGAGCACCTAACGATTTTTTAACCATACTTTTAAGAAGAAAGGGTAATAATTTTTTAAGAGAAAAATATAATACCTTTTACATTTTAATTTAAAAATATAATATTTTTCCTCTAAGTCTCAAATTAAAATGTAATATAATAATTCACATGAAAAACAAAATAAAATGAAAATGAAAATGTTACCTGCGAAGGCGCTGTAAGTAGTCTTTTCAACCACCAAATCGGAATCCGTCCGGCCCAGCTGGGGGATGAGCTCCGCCTCAACGGTGCCGTCCATGATGAGGTCGCCGTCCCACCACTCGTACAGCATGCCGTAGTCATCCGGAGACTTGTGGCGGTGGCGCGTGAATATCACGCGCATCGACTGTCCGCGGCAGAGGTCGATGGTGGCCTTGATCGCCGGCAGAATAGGCTTGGCCATGGAGTAGAAGTAGTTCTGCATGTCGATCACCAACAGGACGGCGGATTTGGGGTCTGGATCTCGCTTCCTGACGTCATATTTCTGGTAAGATGACATTTTGGTTTTGTGAGGTCCAGAGATATCTCTCTAGATTTTTCAGAGAAGTCTTCTAGCAGCACCCAAAACTTTCAATCGCTGATAGTATATTTCAGTATGACAAAAACATTATTATTATTATTATTTTGAAACATGACAAAAACATTATTGAAGTGGAGGAAGTAATGATATTTTTAAAACAGGGCCGGTCTTTAAAAAAAGAAGAAGTGATGTTTAATAGTTGAATTTTAGCTTATTTATTTATATATAGTGATTGACAGAAATTTACAATTATTATTGAATATAGTATGTACTAAATAAATTTTATTTTGCAACTTTAGTCGGCGTGCTTACTATCTGATTAGTTACCAATAAATTGGACTTATTTGATGTATTTTAATGACACATCGTCTGCTGTTGATTACAAATGTTACTAGTACACATCAAGTATCAACATCATCAGGATATATATATATATATATATATATGAGTTCTACTACATAAACTCCTAAAATTCTACTTCTTCATTTATACTCCCTGAGATGGCAAATCAGTATTGGTTATTTTCATCATGTGGGTCCACTGAAAAGTGTCTAAATCAAAAACATGTGCGAGAGAATAAAAGTTGGGAGTTTAAAATGAGAGTACACCAAGTATTTTCCTATATATATATATAGGTCAAGATTATTCACAAACATTTGTGCAGCAAGAAACAAACTCATGTTTGTGTGTACCAACAAGTTGCAGCAGATGCGATGCAAGTGCTCAGTATCGATACTTTGTGGAGTAATCTTTTGGAGCAATGACAAGACCGCGGCCCTTTCTAGCACCACGATAAACAGTCTCGACAATGTCAATGAACTCTTGTTTGTCCTTCAGTGCCCAGTTGATCTTGTTATTGTTCCCGGTGCCAAGATCGATCATGATGTGTTTGTTCCTAAAGAAGAACATCACAGTCGACGGGTCATACAGTTCATACATCGTGTTGAAGTCAGGAACCTCAGTGATATCGACAAGGTATAGGACAGCAAAGTTCTTTAATGTCTCAGCAACTGAGGCCAAAACTTCATCCATCTGAAAACCATAAACCAATTAGTAACCCTGAAGGCTGAAGCCACTCCAAAATAAGAAAACAATGCAATATAATAATTTAAAAAAAAATTGTAGGAAAACATAAGTGAATACGCAATCAATGGCACATTCAATAAAAATTAAAACATAATACCCCTAAAGCATCCCACACATAATTGCTCTCGGTGGGACTCAAAACCAGGTCAGGTGGTCTCCCTCAGTCCCTCTTTCCCATTAGGCCATGAAGTCATTGGCAAATGGTCAAGTAGGAATTTAGAATCCATGATTTGACACCAGGTATTAATAGATGTCATAGAGGGGCAGATGGACAATAAGACCAATTAGAAGGAAAGTAGGAAACACAGATAAATTGGGAAAAAAGGAAATCAAAGATACTATATACTGAATATTTTACAAAGACAGTTAGCCAACTGCTAATGCAATAAAGTTCAATCATTAACACCCATTGTACATCACACCAATTATGTGAATTTAGTGAACTTTATTTTTCTAAAGTTTCAACAGTAAGGAGTCAGATGTGTATATTAATAAGCATTATGCGCATCACTATGTTGCAAGCTCATTCACTCTTCTGTTTCCTCAACAAGCACATTTTCAACGTAGAAACCCAATACAACCACTAATATATTAATATGCACTGCACAGGAAATTATCAATGCACCATACTGTAACACCAAACGCAAGCTTGAACCCATGACAAATCATTGCACCAAGATGATTACTCACTTCTTGGAAACTATATACATATGTATACAGGGGAGGAGCCAGAAAGGAATATTACTGACTGGGGGTGAAAGCACTTGGATAAAATGGTCTGAATAAGAACACATTATAAATCACATATCACCTCTATTGATATGATATTCATAAATGCTTTTTCTTCAGTTAGATTAACTTCAAGTTTTTCTAGATTAATTTGAATACAAGGACATACAATATAAACTTATAAACTACATTGACTAAATAATTCATAAAAAGTAGACTTTTTAGAAAATATATTAGACTGAATCAAAAATTAACACACATAACACATACAAATTAATTAATCAATTTAAATAATTATTACCACACATAGCACATCTATAAATCTCACAAATTAACACACATTATAAATATAAGTAGTAAATTACTCAATTAGGAATAAATTTCAAAATTTGATATGAATCACAAGTCAATATAAATTTTACATCTCACAATTAATATTAAAAAAAAAAAAAAAAAAGACAAAAAAAAAAATCACAAGTTAGTCTAAATTTTACATCTCATAATATAAAAAAGACTCTCACCAAAAAAATAATATATATAAAAAAAAAGGAAGAAAAAGCTATGGCTCCGTCCATGAAGCCATCAGTAACTTGTATATACATTACTTATTTATATAAAAGCTACTACTATATATGTATAAATATACATACATATATATAAAGGGGGTGGAGAAGGGGCAGGGCTGAAACTTCCCCCACTCTGGATCCACCCCTGCGTGTGTGTGTGTGTGTGTGTAGTCATGAAGCCCATAAGTAGCATTGTCCTCAAACATAGCATTAGGTAGAGTAAAAAATCAGAAACCATAATTCAGAACCTGGAAATCCATTGTTTATGTAGCCTTGAAACCTGGATTCAATGTATTATCAAGAAAGACGGATAGTGATGAATGGCTCATACTCAAGTTACATTAAGAGAGTACGGTTTATTTTACACTCTAGGTTCATAGAATAGTTGTTTCACTTAACTTCTATAGCTTGGTTATTGAAGAAATTTGTCACAACAGTTCATGAATTATTACTCCATTAGGAAATCACATAACACTGAACTCACCACTATACTGTTCTCCGCATCTAAGGACACATTTCAACCCGCGGAAGTTACATTTTACTATCGAAGAACAAATAATTTACAAATATTGAGATAAGTCAAATGAAATTGCTGAAAAAGCTATTAAATTAAGTATAAATAAACCCAAAATATGTTTTCCCTCATAATCAGAAGTGAAATCAAGAAATTGGAATGAAAATCGAAAAGCTAAAGAACATACCTGCATGCAAGTCTCGTCCCAGTCGTGGCCGAAGCGGATAATGACTAGGCGCTCCTCCTCGGCGAGGATGGCTTGGTCGACCGCCCAACCGGAGTGAAGATGGGGCAGCAAGTACGACATCCTTTCTTCTCTTTCCCCTGAAATCAAATTAAGCAGGTGGAGCAAATGGTAGCGTGTTAGGGTTTGTAGGTCGCTAAGATTATAAAAGGAGAAGAAGAATCGGGAAAGTGGGAACCACGATGGCCTGATCTTTTATAATTGACGTTTTTTACCAAGCAGAGGTCGGCGCGTGTTAATTTGTCCAACCAACCAAACAAATTCGGCACGCGTTTTTTTTTTTTTTTGGGGTCTGATTTCTACCATATTTGGCAGAGCTTATTTAAGAGCTTAAACTCTGTTTGGTAATGTTCTTAAAATAAGAGCTTATGTTGGAACCCTACTTAGGTTCTGTTTGACAAATCTAGCTGAAAAGCTATATAGGATCAAAGTAGGGTCCAATGAGAACACTTGCTTAGATGAGAACGTGAGAACAAATCATGTGCATCAATCTAATATTATTTAATGGTCAAGATCAATCGCATTTGCACACACTTAATTGCGTTTGTACACATTTAATCCGTGTTCGCACACACTTAATCTAAACCATTAAAATTAATTAGATGGCGGATGCACACGATTTGTTCTCACGTTCTCACCTAAGCAAATGTCCGAATATGATTCTAAAGGGAGGGCTTCAAGTGAGAACTCATGTTTAGGTAGGAACATAAGAACTAATCTAAGCCTTTGAATCTCATCCAATCAATGGTTTATATTAATTAATCAGTAATAAGGAGACCATTAGTATAAGTAATTTCAATGGATACTAGGGTAAATTTCAGCACCCAACAATTAATAATTAATATTGTATTTGAAATTATCCCAAGAATAATATAGGAGAAGTATATGATTCAAGACTCTATTCTTTCTGCTATTCCGCTAACGACACCGCTGCGACAGGGACCTCTCTGACCAACGCTTGCGAATCTCTGCCAGACGTGTGCATCCTGAAGCAGCCAACGACGTGGACCAAGTGATTTTCTCCGGTCGAAATAATGGCAACAGAATACCATGACAATAAGTTCTATATTTGAATACGTAACATTGGTTGTGTTCATAATTTAAATTCATAGGGACGGGTAATGGAGTGTGTAAGCATGCACTAATAGGCCAGTTTAAATCCCATAACAATGTGTGGAATCGCATGCGGCAACAATAATAATGTTCATGCCATCGCCAACTGTGTTCGCCCTACTAAACGACACCCCCTACAATGTTGAAGTGCACACACTAGCCTAGGCATATGTGGCTGTGTACACCCACATTTACGGGGCAGTGCACATACGGCACAAAAAACACAATCTAAGTTCACACCCCAATGTTAACCGTCTTTTAATACACACATTAATTCTGCATATAATGGCACACAGTGAGCCACCAAAGAACACAAGCCCTCATGCCACATCCACCTAGTTCATACGGGGTAATGAGTGTGCCGCACAGGCCACAGGACCCTGTGTACATTCACACATCCCATTTTCTGTAGTCGTGAATTTCGTGCGTGCACTTATGGGGTAATGAATGTGCCACAATGGCCATGGAAGCCCTGAGCTCATGCACATCGATCGGTCCTAATGTTTTTAGAGCTTAACAACTTTTCTTTAGTGGTTATTTGAGAACTTCAAAACTCTCCTTTTGGTATCCATTTCTCCTAGACGCTATTATGGGCATTTTGAGAATATGAAAAGTTTAGTTAATTGATTACGGAATGCTTTTCTCATGTGGTGTGCACTTTCATGAAAATGGTTGTGCCATAACGGATGGAAAGACGAAACTAAAGTTGGTATGCTCGGCCCCTAAGTTATACTGTGTGTGCCAAAATGTACAGTGGTACTGACATATTGTAGCCTCAAAAACTAGGATGAGGTGATGCATTATGGTATGCACTTGGGTTTCCTTGTGTGTGCCATACTGGGCGTGCTGAGTTTCTGCACGAAAAGGCATACAAGAAGTTGGTGTGCATGGGCGTTACATCATGTGTGCCATAATGTGTAGTTTTAATTGGACCATGTTCCCGCGTGCACTTATGTTGATCTGGGTGAGCCATAATGTGTAAAATTATTCTGATTTTGTACTGGCGTGCACTTATGTTGTTTGTTTTATGCCATTATATATTAAAATTTTAATAGATTGAATACACGGAAACCATGATGATTTTATACACTTCTTTGTGCACTTGCAAAAGAATGACGTAACCATAACGTAGAATATAAGCGTGCCATAACATACAGAAAGGGCAACACTTATGTGGATCTGTGTGTGCCATAATGTGTAGAACTATTTTGACCTTGAATTGGCGTGCACTTCTGTTGATCTATATATGCCATTATGTGCACAAATTCAAATAGATTGAATACACGCAAACCATGCATGGTGATGTTTTACACTTCTGTGTGCACTTAGGTCAAGATGACGGTGCCATAACGTAGAACATGAGAGTGTCATAACGTACGCAAGGAGCGTTTGGATGAACAAATGAAAAACAAATTAAAATTGTAAATCAACCAAGGATTAGCTATCAAATATCATAATCAGAATACATAAATTTACCTAAGTAAACTAAAGTAAAGTACTGATCAACTAGCTCCAAATGAGCACACGTAGCTACGAATGATCTTGAAATGAGCACATGTAGCCAACATTGTTAATCCGCCTCATGGTATGCAACTATGCTACGGATGTTCTTGGCTACGTCATGCTTGAGGCCTCCTACGCTGAGCATGGCCACCATCTGTAGCTTGCGTCCCTGACTGCCCACCAACCTCAACATGAGGCCGCTCCCCTGAACAATACATTACAACAATAACTCAAAATAAGCAAACAAAGCCTAAACGCGAAGATAGAAAAAATGATCAAAACTAAACATAGTCATATACCCAAAGTTCACACAGTAATTGTGCACATTATGGCACACACAATGTAATCCATATGCATACCACTTGTTTTATACCTACTCATAGATACAATAACTGTGCACATAATGGCACACACAGTGTTACACAAGTGCACACCATATACTTATACATCAAGCAGGTACCCTTCTGTTGATCTATGTGTGCCATTATTTGCACAAATTAAAGTAGATGAAGGGAGGGAACAATGATTCTATTTCAATTGTTGGTGTTTATTTCCAGCCATAACCAACAGTTAAAAAACTATATAAACTAAAATAACATAGAAAGATTTTAATGGAACCTCCAAACTAAAATAACACGAAAATCACGTCTACGGAAAATAGATGTAGGCGGGATTTCTATGTGTGTGCTTATGGGATAATGAATGTGCCACACAGGCCACAGAAACACTGAGCGTGTGCACATTGGGGCAAATGATTGTGCCACATAGCTTAACTAAAACGAGTGTACTTCCAGGGGAATCTACTACTTATGTCCAATACCGATCATTGAAACTTGTAAATCGCACATCGACATGGATGGCATGATTAACTTGAATTCCAAAGCAATCTATATACTACTTGTATGTATGTGCATATAAATGTAAATGCATTACTTACAATCCCTGCACAATCATTGGTATTATGTTGCAGGAAATCAGACCATGAATCAGAACATAAACTGTGTGCTATAAAATGCAAAATGATCAGTGTGTGAAAAAAAATATAAAAGAAGTTGGTGTGCACTAAGGTTGAAGTATGTGTGCCACAATGGGCAAAAATACTGATAGAATGACTTGACGAAAACCAGGTCGATGTTACAAAGTATGGTGTGCACGTCGGTTAAAAGAGTGTGTCATAATGTGGAGAATGAGTGTGTGAATGAAAAAATGTAAAACAAGTAGGTGTGCACCTTGGTTGTCCTGGGTGTGCCACATTGCCCAACAATACTGTTATAATGAATACACGGAAACCACGATGACGTGGTGGATTACGTTGTGAACTTGTGTTAACTAGTGTGTGCCATAATGCTCAAAAACTGATATACAGAATAATGTGCAATTACGATGTCCCACATAGTGTATTTCGCATGACACACATAGAAAGTGAGAACCCATTAATACGCCATACAAAACCACAAAAAATACCCAATGATACACTGAACGGAACGTGCGCATGTAGACATATATGAATGTGCATGCACCAACACCCCCTAAACATGGACAATGTGCACTTGGGTTGAATTGTGTGTGCCAAAATGTGCAAAAATCCTGTCAAAATAAATTCACGGAAAAGAGATTGGTGTGCACTTGGGTTGAAGTGTGTGTGTCATAATGTGCAATAATACTGATAGAACGAATCCACGAAAACCATTTTGATGTTATAGACTACGGTGTGCACTTGGTTTAAACTGTGTGTGGCATAATGTGCAGAATGAGTGTGTGTATGAAAAGACGTAAGAGAAATATGTGTGCACTTGGATTGAACTTCGTATGCCATAACGTAAAGAATGAATGTGAGGAAGAAAATACATAAAACAAGTTGGTGTGCACTTGGATTAACAAGTTTGTTCCATGATGCTCTATAAAATTGATAGACAAATTTCGTGTGCACTTGGGTTAACGAATGTGTGCATGCACCAACCCCCCCCCCCCCCCCCCAAACGTGTTTAACGTTGTGTGAAATATTACAACAAAGCATCAACCAAAACAAAAAAAAAAAGAACAAAAAAGGGATAAAATAGCTGAGGATTAAATATCAAACAGCATAAACATAATACATTAATACATAAATGTACCTAAATGAACTAAACAAAAATACTGATCAACTTGTTCAAATGAGTACACAAGTTACTAGCATTGTTCAATCGTGTTATGACATTAAACTGGGCTACGTATGTTCTTGGAATGGTGTATGTTAAACTCGACCGACAAAATCTTATGCATATAAGTCATCCTCAACCAGTCAAGACCCCTACTATAACCCTTTTACAAACCACAATCACACTCATCCACCGATTGCCTCAAGAAGATCTCCATGTGCCGCATCGCAAAGACGCCACAATCCACGTACTTTGTTACGTGCATCGTGACAACGCATCTACATCCTTCTAGGAACAAGCTTTTGTACGACGGCCCCACACCGATCATCAACCACATCGTCAAGGAACACATACAACAAATCTTTCTGACAAAGGGCGTACGACGAATGAAATATTAAACATCGAATTACCAACAAAATCAAACATAAAGGAAAAAAATAGGTGTATGAATAGATGTTCATACAACTGTGTGTGCACTTAGGTAGAATTGTGTGTGCCATAATGTGAAACAATATTGTCCGAAGGAATAGACGAAAGCCAGGTTGATGTGATAAACTAGGGTGTGCACATAGGTTAGTCTGTGTGTGCCATAACATGCATAATTAATTTGTGTATGAAAAATGAAAACACAGTTGTCAGATTCAAACATAGGAAAATATCAAGCATCAAAACTAATAATCTCTCTTAAGGAATTATGTCGCACACATGATGAGTATTTGAAACATAGCATACCCCCTTCCCAAATCTGATGCTTTAATTCACCAAAGCCTATCTTAAGAAAATTAATGGTCACCCACTACTTGTAAAAACACCAACAGCCACCATAGATTTCGGCCACAAACAAGACCAAAACCCCACACAACTACCCATCGACAAAACCAAATAGCACAACGAAATTCAGACCACAAAAAAAAAAGGCAAATAACTCTAAGAAGCAAAAATCGAAAGGAAAACATATGAAAAAAAAAAAAAAAAAAAAAAAAAAAAAAAAAAAAAAACAAGAAAGAAAAAGTTGTCATTACCGCCGGCCACAAGCAACACCGAAACCATACACATCTACACACCCACAACCAAATAGCACATCGAATGCATTAAAATGCAAAGGAATTTTTTTTTTTTTTTTTTTTTTAGAATAGTCCCACACAAAATTATCACTACAAAATTAATTCTAAAATCAATTTAAATTGGCATGCCTAGGATTTCCTGCCTTCATCTAGGATTTCCTAGCTAATTAGAGAAAAATTTAGCCCAAATATCCTAGCTAGGATTTCCTGCCTTCATCTGCTCTCCCAGCCTCCCTAATTAGCCACCCATGCAAACTCGTATCAGATCATTCTCAAACCAATAATAAAAAAAAAAAAAAATCAACTTGCTCACATTAGAATTTTGGTGTGGCCAATTTTGATACAAATATAATGCACATACAACAGGTTAAAAAAAAAAAAACTAAATTACAAGTAAAAAAAAAAATCATTACATAGGATAAATGCAAATACACTGTGTTGATATCAATCATGTAAGCCTATCAGAATATTCTTTACATAAGTACTCATGATGGCACTTGAAAGTGACAAATTTTTGCATATCGTGACAACATTGATGGCATTTTATATTCTCTGGAACTTTGTCTGAATTACATGGATATTCAAGAGCAAACTGGTGATGTTGTGGAGTACATCTAGAGCCAAACATCTCATGATGATGATCTTTGAATGCTTGGTCAAAGCCTTTGACTATTGCAGTTTCCTTCCACTTCGTGTACTCATTCATGACCGCCAACATCTTATCTCCTAGGTCATATAAGACTATCTTGTTCCCTTTGCATAGCAAAGCCCATCCATTAACTGCTACTCCTTCAGCTTCATATGATAGCAAAAATTTTAGTCCTTTGACAATTTCGTCACTCTCTTCATCACCATAAGTCTCATCTAAGAATTTGATTCTTGAAAAAAATACGCTTTGAAGATTCATCCAAAATGTAAATTGAGCTTCTTTAACTTTGTCAAATAATGTCTCACAAATTCTGTCTTGACGAATCGTTGATGCTACTTTATAGTTGCTACCAACATAGGCCATCTTAATTGTCAGTTGCGGGTTTAATACCTTGGATGCAAATGTTTTAACCCATTTAATGTCCTTCCCTCCAATGAAAAATATGTGCTCATTTGCATTAACCTGATAAATCATAATAAATTGTTAAGAGTAATAAAATAATAATTATCATCAGTGTAAAATATATATACAGGCCGCCGGAATATCATATAAATTGATTATTTTATTTGTTCTTGTTATAAAAAAAAAACAGTTAATCAAAGTTAAGTAGTATAATATTTAGTAAGTTGCGAATGAATAGGAAGCTAAGGAAACTTATTTCAAACTTTTGTTGGAATGGAAACAAGAGATAAGTTGGAATATAGCATACAGAATCTGGACTTAATTACCCATTCCTTTGCTTGCGCGAGGAGGATGTCTCCTCCTATCAGAAACTTAGTGCACCAAGTCTTTTCCTTCCAAGGATCTTCTTCCATTATAGCTTTGTACATGATGCTTTCAAGCTACCCATAAAATTAAAGAAATATATAATACTTAAGTTCACAAAATGTTTTTAAAAACATTCTATATATGACTTTGTTAGTTAATAAACGTACCGAATTTTGTATATCACTCTCAATGTCCTCAAGCCATTCATTTAATTTACTATCCATTTCATTAGCAAAATCACTTATCTTCTCATCAATGTCAAACACTAAATGTCTAACAGATAAAGTCATTTCCTTCAACACATTCTTGAACAGTGGAATTTTGCTATCTCTCTTCATAAAATCACCACCAACACCCTTTGAAAGCAAATCAATATATCTCTTTACTATCATGTGTGTTGCAATGCAGTGAAGCATCCTTCCTTGGTGATCCAGTAAAACAAAGATAGGCCCACTCCCTATTTGAAAAGTTGGGAAGAATTTCTTTTCTACAAATCTTGCAAATCCTGATGCTATATATTTTTCTACATCTTTTACTGCATGGACTTTGATCCCGTTTGCAAATATTCTATAATGATTTTCCATAGCAGCAGTATCCCATAAAGTGGGATCATTCAGTATAGGAATCCATAATTGAGCTATCGGGCCCTCATAAAAGAGGGATGCAAGCATGATTGAATAGTCAACGTCAAGTTGTGACGTTATAAGCAATATCAACTTTTTGTTCTCAAATAAACGTAATCCTACCTGCAATAATCAAAATGGATGCAAATATATTTTTATAAAAATGCATTTGTGGACCCATGGAGAGAAAAATTTTAGTTAATATATTCCGTAATGTATATATGCTATCTGTTATCCATTTTTGATAAATCAAATTCGTGAGAATGCTGAATAATTAGTTTCACCATTAATTAAACAATATTAAATTAAATTATCAAATTTAAGTTTAGGTCCATACCATTTCGCCTTCTGGATCAAATAAAGGTTTCTCTTTGTCAACATCCTTAACATTAAATATTAATTTGAGAGCATCCAAATTAGTGGAAGGGACTAGATTTTCATCGGAAAATGCACACCACAATGCGTTGTAAGAATCATCTTCTCTCTTCATTTCTGTATATATCAATAGAAGGGCCATTAAATTAATTATAAAATATATTGAAAAAATTATACTTTTCCTCCCTAAGTTATATGGTAATTGTAAAATTCATCTTTAATTATTGGTGGTGTCCACTTTTTGTCCCTAACTTATCATTAGGATTGTACTTTCCGTCCCTTTACTAACATAACATTAGCGATAAAATTTACAATGTTAGCTTAGAGATGAAAAAGTTAATAAAAGGACGAAAAATGTAAAATAAATGATAACTTAGGGGCGAAAAGTAAGTACAACCAATAATTATGAACGAATTCTATAATAATCCTATGACTTTAGGGATAAAAAAAATACAAAATTGAATTCATTAAACCAACCTAGCATTGGGCCGCAATAAGAGAATATATCTTTGAGAGTGACAGTTAAACTGGATAGCTTTGATTCAGTGTCCGTAAGCCACCTATAATAATAACAAACTCTATATTTGATATCTTAATCAATAGTCATCAACTAATATTTTGGATAAGTGACACTTAGCTTGTATGTAATAATAACTCATCCACAACATATGCATATATATTACGTAGACAAGTAATATGAAAACATGTACACATATAAATTGTATATATTTGAAATGAAATCTTACTCTGAATCAAGAGTATTCGGAAGGCAACGGAAATAGGATGCAAAAGTTATGATACTTGTAAAGATCCAATAAGAAGCAAGCGGTATGACTGGTGAAGAATTATATGAGGATGATTGTGCAAGCTCGACAATGGTGTCAGTAAGACGTAAGAGTGATTTGATAAAAAAGGAAATGGATTGTCGGATATGGGAAGATGCCACAGTCAATAATGGAGTTTTACTTCCCTTGCGAGCTTGGATGTTGAATTCTCCAAAGTTGATGGAGGAAGCGGCCAACATCAACAAAAGCTTGGCTTCCCATGGATATGCACACAACATCTTCAGAAAATACATTACAATTGAGTGTGGATCATCTGCAGCATTTTTTGATGAACACTTTTGTGCTATCTGAATACATATGAAACCAAATTTAAGCATGAAGACAATTAATTTGTTGAAATTCTAAAATTTAACATTAAAATTACATATATAGTATTACATATTTATTTTAATTGCTTATTTAAAAAAAAAAAAAAGAATTACCTCAAATGAAAGCCGCTTTATTTGATATGAATGTTCTGTGTCTTTGAGTTCCATCTCATCAGGAACATTAGACATAGTGTTGTTGTCAGAATTATCATCACTAGACTCATTGTCAGAATAATCAGCCATCTAAACCATATATTTGAAAAATAAAAAATTAAAAAGTAAAAAAAATCCAATTGAATGTCATCATGCATGAGAAAAACAGAACAAAAATAAATTCGATCAATATAATGTTATCACAGATGCAGGGGTAGAAATTTTCTCCAGTGAAGACGAAATACTAAAACACTACTGGAAATTATAGAATTTCCGACCACCTGAGAGTGATTTTAAATCAAGTTCCTGAGAGTGATTTTAAATCAAGTTCATGAGAGTGATTTTAAATCAAGTTGAAAATAAAAAGTGATCGGAAATAGCTATAAAGGTTTTTCCGGACACCAAAAGTGGGCAGAACAAGACTTTCGACTTGATTTAACATCATTTTCAGGTGATCGGAAATTCCATAATTTTCAGTAGTGAAACTAATGAGATATTTTGAATAAAAAATTGAAAAACTTAGAGATCGAGTTATAAATATTGTTTACTAGAGATGAAAAATCAAAATATATCAAGATAAAAAATATTTAAAACAAAATATATAATATAATTAATTAGATAAAATAGTTTGAATAAAAAATACATTATAATTAATATTTAAAAAGAAAAAATAAAAATAAAAAAGAGAATAAATAACAATGTTACAAATAAAAAATTCAATTAGAATTCTCACTATTAATATTAAAAAATGATAATGCTATAAGATTCAAACTATTAACCATTGACCATTTCATATTATAAGGAAATAATGACCTAACCATCTAAGCTAAATAAATTTTTAATTAAATTTTGGTATATTTATTATAGATACAATATATATAGGGTGGGATCTTGCGGAGTAATATTTTTTGTTGATTTATTTAATTTATAGTGGACTATATTGTGATAGATTATTATTAATGAGATTTAAACAACATTGAGATATATAAAACATCTGTCATTGAACCTATCAAATTAAAACACTCTTCAGAAATCTATATATAACCCATAGCTACTAAGTTGTTACTATACAAACAGTTACTCGTACTAGATCAAGCATAAAATTTAATATAAATAATATAAAGTAATAGTAAATAGATAAACTATGATTAAAAAATATATATATATCAAGAATCTTCTTCACAAAGTGAAGAATATAACTTACTTTAAAATCTTAATTTGCTAATTGGATCATATATTAGTAGCCATAACTTCTTTCAAGATAATATTTTTATTGATGTTTGAACTTGTCAAAGGCTCGTATTTCATCTTTAAGAAATAGGGAAAAGAGAGAGAGCAAAATTAAGGGAAAAAGCAAAGAAAATGGGGATGTAGCTAGGTTTAATTTGTGATTAAAAATGTGTGGCTAACCTCCTCTCTCTATATATATATATAATATATATATATATATATATATATATATATATATATATATATATATATATATATATATATATATATATATATAGCATAAATAATGAAATAGAAAACATTTATCTGAATATATATGTACATGAAACCAAATTTAAGCATGAAGACTATTAATTTTTTGAAATTCTAAAATTTAACATTAAAATTATAGTATTACAAATTTATTTTAATTGCTTTAAAAAAGAAAAATGAATTACCTCAAATGAAAGCCGCTTTATTTGATAGGAATGTTCTGTGTCTTTGATTTCCATCTCATCAGGCACATTAGACATGGGTTCATTATCATCAGACTCCTCCTCATCTTCATAAATGGTTTTTCCACCCACCTATCAAAGATGAAAAAAAAAAAAAAAACACAACAAATACCAATAACATCATCACACATAAAATACATACATCATCCAGCGTGCGAACTGGGAAGTATGTATTATTTTTGTTGATTTAGTGATGGGATTTAGACAACATTTAGATACATATACAAAGGTTTACAAGCAACTTATGGTAACAGTTATTTTCATTAAATCTATCAAAACACTCTTCAAAAATCAATATATAACATAGCTACCATGTTACGTTGTTACTCTATCCAATAAAATAAATTTCTAACATATACTTCATATATACTAATGGTTACTTGTACCAGATCAAATATAAAATTCAATATAAATATAAAGAAATAATAAATAGACAAACCATGATAAGAAATAAAATCTTCTTCACAAAGTGGAGGATATAATTTGCTTTAAAATCTTTGGTAACTGGACCATGAGTATTCATAACTTCTTTTAAGATAATACTTTCATTGATGTTTGAACTTGTTGAAGGTTGGTATTCCATTTTCAAGAAATAGGGAAAAGAGAGGTAGCAAGATTAAGGGGAAAGAGAGCAAAGAAAATGGGGCTGCAGTTGTGAATAAAAATGTGTGGCTAACCTCCTTATTATATATATAGTATAAAAGATGGAATAATAGGATGAAGACAATTCCTTGCTTCAGTTGGGAGAAAATTTATTTGCTTTTAACTTTAAACAATGCTTTATTCCTTTATATATCGTATGGATACTAAATCTGATTAATAAGTACATACCATGTTAACATTTAATATGATAATAAGAATAACAATATTTTACCTAGCCTCTAAAAAGTAAAAGACCATGCAATGCACATATAGTAGCTAGAAATTAAAGGAAATCAAAAAATTTAGGAAACAAGAGTTCTATTGACTGTACTTGTAACACACTCCAATTGTAAAAGAAGAGTGAAAAGAGAATGTGGTACTGAGCTTGTATGTTACAAATTTACTTTGTATCATAATTTGTTAAGGGTGTGAATAAAGAAAGTGAGCAAAATTTGAGGAAAAAAATTATTCTGGCTTACATTACAATTTTCCAAACATAAAAGAGGAGAAATGTGAATATAATGTGTAACACATTTGCAAGTTATATTTGAAAAAGATTCAAAAAAAGAGACAAACATTATAATATTCATCTAGATAGCTAGGAAAACAATGTGAAAAAATATAAAATTACTGCTTGTTTATATGAATTAACTTGCTACATCATCATCATCTAAGTGAGTTAATTGTCAAAATGATGTTTGATCTTGTTAAACTGGCATTAAATGTAAGGACATATTGAAATTTTAAAATTTTCATATCGCTTCGTTCGGATAAATATTTCAAAAGTCCAAAAAATAAAGTATTATATTTTTTGAATGCTACTGGCTCTATTACATAGTAGCATCTGTTCATATACTTTCTTAACCTACTAAAACACAAAACTTAAGGCTCAAACTCACAACCTTTCACATGAAAATCCAACCCAAGTACCATTAAACCACATAGTCTTGGTAAGCAAAGTATATATATATATATATATATATATATATATATATATATATATATATATATATATATATATATATATATATATATATATATATATATATATATATATATATATATATATATATATATATATATATATAAGCCTCCAAAGTGCATAGCTTTTGATGCCTGCCAACTCTAAAATGCATGCATAATTTGTCTATTAGATGTTAGCTTTAATTTGTATGATTAATTGTTTTAGGAGTGAATAAAATCAAGAAAAATGAACAAAATATAGAGAAACAAGTTATTTTATTCTCTCGCGCAAGTACTCCAAGTATAATACTAACTAAAGTAAAGCTAGAAATTAAAGAAAATCAAAATATTTAGGAAACAAGAGTTCTATTGACTGTACTTTGTAACACACTCCAATTGTAAAAGAAGTGTGAAAAGAGAATGTGGTACTGAGCTTGTATGTTACAGATTTACTTTGCACCATAATTTGTTAAGAGTGTGAATAAAGAAAGTGAGCAAAATTTAAAAAAAAAATTATTCTTGCATTACTTATAATGCAATTATTCTAAACATAAAACATGAGAAAGCTGAATGTGTAACACATTTTCAAGTTACGTTATATACTACGGAGAAGTAAAATGCATGTTCTCTCAAAGTGAGGGGGGTTCCTTGTGCGCAGTGAGCACCGGTCTAGCCTCTGTAATTCATGTTCAGTTGAGTTACCATGATTTACATCCTCCCAAATGTTCTGTCGGGTCGAGGTGTGGGGGCCCCTTAGGGTTGAGGTTCAGCCTTTGGAAGAAGAAGTAAAATGCATGTAAAAATGTGAAATTTCAAAATTTTACCTCATTTTTTGTCATCTAACAAGTATTATATTTATGAAGACCAAAAATAAAGTTATAATACGCATTTTTATCTTAATGTACCATTAATCTTAATAATGGTTATGCTGCGCTACTAAATTATTAGTGGAATTGTTTGGAAAATATTGCATTTGTTTTAGACTTTTACTAAGGAAAGAATATTAATTATATACATACATTAGCCTCCAAATTAAAGTGCATAGCTTTTGATGCCTGTAAACTCCAAAATGCATAGCTTTGACATGTCCATTAGTATAGAAGAAGATCGAATGAAAAGAGAATGTTCTAGGAGCTTAATTTGTCTATTACATGTTAACTTTAATTTGTATGATTAATTGTTTTAGGAGTGAATATTGATAAATGTCATATTAGCTTACATTTTTCTTTACAATTCTTGTCAATTTGCTTATTGCCCTTAAACTACTGTGTGGTCAAATTGGATGTTTATTTAGTTAATTGTATATAAGTGAATAAATTTTGAAGTAATGACTTAGATAAATGGACATGTTCTAGGAGCGAGTTCTGATAGGTTAAGGAAGTGAAAAGAATCAATTTTGAAATGCCACGGCATAATTCACACACCAAGATTATTCTAAGCATCATTAACTTAAAAATACAATAAATATTGAAAAATTGCCAGATACATAACTAGCTTAGAGTAATCATAAATCTTAAATTTGTATTGGGATAGAAAATCTTTTTAATATTTTTTCTATATATACTAGATACAGATTTTTGTATAGATACAACATGCATGCTTACAAGAGTTTCTCACCCTAAATATTTATTTATACATTTGAAGATAGGAATAAATAATGTATAACTTTCCTCTCATATATATATATATATATAATATGCACTATTTACTATGCCCCTTTGTCACACTTAGAAGGGCTTCTACCAGTTCAATAATGTATGGCAATTTATATTGTGCACCAGGGCGCGCATTGTGCGCGCTGATGCAAAATGACATCGTTTCATTTTTTTTTTTTTTTTGAAATTTCGCTGCTTTGTGTTGGCGGTTAATTTTCTTTTAAAAAAAATTTAATGTTAAAAAATGTACATGATTTTATACTAGAATACATATAATTGTATACATGATGTACATAATTGTATAACAAAATACACATATATTTTTTTAATTTCCTGATTCAGGTGTACATAATTGTATAAAAAAACATGTACATTTTTTTGAAAAAAAAAACATGTACATAATTATATAAAAATACACATAATTGTATAAACAAATACGCATAATTGTATAAATAAATACACATAATCACGTCAACTCCCTACATAATAAGGTGAAATATATATTCATAGAAGCAGACTTTGATATTGAATGATGAGTTCCATGAATTCGATCTTTCAAATGCTCTGTCGGGTCGGGGTGTAGGGGACCTTTAGGGTTGGGGTTCAGCTTTTTGGAAGAATGAATTCGATCTCCCTTCTTAAGAGTAGTCATTATTTTATATATATATAAAAAAAAAAAAAATCAACTTGTTCACATGCAAATTTTGATACAAATATAATGCTAATATATACAGTAGGTTAAAAAAAAATAAAAAATTACATGATAAAAACCATTAGATACGACAAATGCAATTACATTATGTGTTCATATCAACCAATGCAAGTATATCCTAATCCTCTTCCATTTCAGAAATTTCTTTAAATTCTTTACATCCATGTTCATGATAACACTTGAAAGTGACAAATTTTTGCATATTATGACAACGTTGAGGACATTTTATATTCTCTGGGACTTTGTCAGAATTAGATGGATATTCAAGAGCACAAGGTGATGTTGTGGAGTAGTACAAGTAGAGCCAAACATCTCTTGATGGTGATATTTGAATGCTTGGTCAAAGCCTTTAACTATTGCACTTTCCTTCCATTTCGCGTACTCATTCATGACCACCAACATCTTATCTCCTAGGTCATATAAGACTATCTTGTTCCCTTTGCATAGCAAAGCCCATCCATCAACGTCTACTCCTTCAGTTTCATATGCTAACAAAAGTTTTAGTCCATTGACAATTTCGTCATTCTCTTCATCACCATAAGTCTCATCTAAGAATTTGATCCTTGAAAAAAATATGCCTTGAAGATTCATCCAAAAAAGAAATTGATGATATAGATATTTGTCAAATGTCTCACAAATTCCGCCTTGTCTCACAAATATATATAGGGTTGAGTTCAAATAAGGACAACAATATATAGAGGATTGTGAGGACAAATAATGGGCACATAACAAATTAATACCAGGCACACATGCAACTTAATACAAAATGACACACAAGAATAAATGTAAACATCATGTTTCGAACCCAGGGTCTATAAATTAACAAATCTAGCACGCGTTATACAAACTGTGGCACACGACAACGTTCGGTCATGCACACGACATACCGGCTAATGGCAAACACTACATTTGTCCTCACAGTCCTCTATAATATACTTGTCCTCATTTGAATACACATCATATATATATATATATATATATATATATATATATATATATATATATATATATATATATATATAAAAGCCTCCAAAGTGCATAGCTTTTGATGCCTGCCAACTCCAAATTGCATGCATAGCTTTGACATGTCCATTAGTATAGAAAAAGAATGAAAAGAGAATGTACTAGGAACTTAATTTGTCTATTAGATGTTAACTTTAATTTGTATGATTAATTGTTTTAGGAGCGAATATATCAAGAAAAATGAACAAAATATAGAGAAAGAAAAGTTATTTTATTCTTGCGCGCAAGTACTCCAAGTATAATACTAACTAAAGTAAAGCTAGAAATTAAAGGAAATCAAAATATTTAGGAAACAAGAGTTCTATTGATTGTACTTGCAACACACTCCAATTGTAATAGAAGAGTGAAAAAGAATGTAGTATTGAGCTTGTATGTTATAGATTTACTTTGCACCATAATTTGTTAAGAGTGAATCAAGAAAGTGAGCAAAATTTAAAAAAATTATTCTTGCATTACTTACAATGCAATTATTCTAAACATAAAACATGAGAAAGGTGAATGTATAACACATTTTCAAGTTACGTTATATACAAAGAAGTAAAATGCATGTAAAAAATGTGAAATTTCAAAATTTTATCTCATTTTTTGTCATCTAACAATTATTATATTTATGAAGTCCAAACATAAAGTTATAATACGCATTCTTATCTTAATGTACCATTAATCTTAATAATGGTTATGCTGCGCTACTAAATTATTAGTGGAATTGTTTGGAAAATATTTAATTTGTTTAGACTTTTACTAAGGAAAGAAATTATATACATTAGCCTCCAAATTAAAGTGCATAGCTTTTGATGCCTGTAAACTCCAAAATGCATAGCTTTGACATGTCCATTAGTATAGAAGAAGATCGAATGAAAAGAGAATGTACTAGGAGCTTAATTTGTCTATTACATGTTAACTTTAATTTGCATGATTAATTGTTTTAGGAGTGAATATATCAAGAAAAATGAACAAAATATAGAGAAACAAAAAGTTATTTTATTCTTGCAAATACCCCAAGTATAATAGAGGAGGAAATAAAAGTAAGTGCATAGATAACACATTTTCAAGTCACATGAAAAGAAGTAAAATGTGAATACTAGGAAAACAATGTGAACAAGGTAGAACTATTTTTGTAAATACTAAGATTTAGGGATGGCAATTTCAATATGCTTTAACTTGCGAAAATTAACACAAATCCATCATGCATAGATCGTGCATTTTTTTATTTTTATTTTTGTGATAGCAGATGATGAGTCACGGGTGACTTTTAAAAAATTAACCTGCAATAGGTCTGGTTGAATGCAGATTTTATATACAAAACTTACATAAATATGAAAAAGAATCAGATTAGATTGTAAAATGGTCAAAAGTTGTCAAACATAAATAAAATTATTGTTTGAACTTAAATATTGATAAATGTCATATTAGCTTACATTTTTCTGTACAATTCTTGTCAATTTGCTTGTTGCCCTTAAACTACGTACTGTGTGGTCAAATTGGATGTTTATTTAGTTAATTGTATATAAGTGAATAAATTTTGAAGTAATGACTTAGATAAATGGACATGTTCTAGGAGCGAGCTCTGATAGGTTAAGGAAGTGAAAAGAATCAATTTTGAAATGCCACGGCATAATTCACAAACCAAGATTATTCTAAGCATCATTAACTTAAAAATACAATAAACCTACATATTAATAGTCCTAATTGGCAAATAATTATCAGATACATAACCAGGGACAGAGCTAGAAATTTGGTTGAGGGGGACGAAACAGTACAGACAGATTCAGAAAATAAATAAATTACTTAATAAATATAGTTGTAAATGGACGAAAAATAAAACACATCGAAACTTTATAAGAATATTCATATCAAAATATGAAACATAATTAATGAATCACGTACTATTGCCAAATATATGCTCTACCACATAATCTAACCCACTATTGTTAACACTTTATAGTGTTTTTTATACTAATACTAAAACATGTACTATATATACATATATACATACAAAGACTATATATAGGGTGGAGGTGGGGTGAGGGGGAGCAGCTGCCCCCCTTTGGCTCCGTCCCTGTACATAACTAGCTTAGAGTAATCATAAATCTTAAATTTGTATTGAGATAGCAAAACTTTTTAATATTTTTTCTATATATACTAGATACATATTTCTTTTTTTTTTTTTTTTGAAATTTCGCTGCTCTATGTTGGCGGTTAATTTTCTTTTTTAAAAAAATTTCATGTTCAAAAATGTACATAATTTTATACTAGAATACACATAATTGTACACATGAATGTACATAATTGTATAACAAAATACACATATATATATATTTTTTAATTTCCTGATTCGGATGTACATAATTGTATAAAAAACATGTACATAATTATATAAAAATATACATAATTGTATAAATAAATACACATAGTTGTATAAACAAATGCACATAATCACGTCAACTCCCTACATAACTTACCAAAATGCCGTCGTTTTGGGAGGCGCGTGGCGCACAGTGCTATGTGCACTGTGGTGCAGGGTATAACAATTGGTAATGTATAAACCAATAAGATGCCAAGTAACAGCTGCTAGAATGAGTTGCAGCCCAGAGCCATTGATGACGATATCCAATGCTAAAGTACCACCTAAATGCTCGTTTAGTTCTCTGGGCAGCTCTTCCCCGCCCTCGGGAATCTGTAACCACACTGTAACTGCTCCAATAGTACCGGTTACTACAGGAATAGCCACGCTCCATGGCTCTGATGGCTTGAATGGAAGAATAAGGTGAAATATATATTCACAGAAGCAGACTTTGATATTGAATGATGAGTTCCAGGAATTCGATCTCCCTTCTTAAGAGTAGTCATTTAAAAAAAAAAAAAAAATCAACTTCTTCACATGCAAATTTTGATACAAATATAATGTAAATATATACAGAAGGTTAAAAAAAAATAAATTAAATTACATGATAAAAAAACCATTACATACGACAAATGCAAATACATATTGTGTTCATATCAACCAATACAAGTATATCCTAATCCTCTTCCATATCATAAAGTTCTTTAAGTTCTTTACATCAATGTTCATGATAACACTTGAAAGTGACAAATTTTCGCATATTATGACAACGTTGAGGACATTTTATATTCTCTGGGACTTTGTCAAAATTAGATGGATATTCAAGAGCACAAGGGTGATGTTGTGGAGTAGTACAGGTAGAGCCAAACATCTCTTGATGGTGATCTTTGAATGCTTGGTCAAAGCCTTTGACTATTGCACTTTCCTTCCATTTCGCGTACTCATTCATGACTGTCAACATCTTCTTTCCTAGGTCATACAAGACTATCTTGTTCCCTTTGCATAGCAAAACCCATCCATCAACGGCTACTCCTTTAGTTTCATATGCTAACAAAAGTTTTAGTCCATTGACAATTTCGTCACTCTCTTCATCACCATAAGTCTCATCTAAGAATTTGATCCTTGAAAAAAATATGCCTTGAAGATTCATCCAAAAACAAAATTGATCTTCTTCATTTCTTTCAAATGTCTCACAAATCCTGTCTTGACGAATCGTTGATGCTACTTTATAGTTGCTACCGACATAGGCCATCTTAATTGTAAGTTGCGGGTTAAAATGAATTTCTGTTAATACCTTGGATGCAAATGTTTTAACCCATTTAATGGCCTTCCCTCCAATGAAAAATATGTTCTCATTCGCATTAACCTGATAAATCATAATAAATTGTTAAGAGTAATAAAATAATAATTATCATCGGTGTAAAATATAATATATATATATATATGCCGAAATATCATATAAATTGATTATTTTATTTGTTCTTGTTAAAAAAAATAACAGGTAATTAATCAAAGTTAAGTAGTGTAATATTTAGTAAGTTGCGAATGCAAACTTATTTCAAACATTTGTTGGAATGGAAACAAGTTGGAAGGAATATAGCATACAGAATCTGGACTTACCCATTCCTTTGCTCGTGGGATAAAGAAGTGATTTCCCATTAGAAGATTAGTGCACCAAGTTTTTTCCTTCCAAGGATCTTCTTCCATTATAGCTTTGAACATGATGCTATCAGCCTACCCATGAAATTAAAGAAATATATAATACTTAAGTTCACAAAATGTTTTTAAAAAAACATACTATATATGACTTTTTTAGCTAATAAACGTACCGAATTTCGTATATCACTCTCAATGTCATCAAGCCATTCATCCAAATTACTATCCATTTTATTAGCAAAATCAGTTATCTTCTCATCAATGTCAAACACTAAATGTCTAACAGATAAAGTCATTTCCTTCAACACATTCTTGAACAATGGAATTTTGCTATCTCTCTTCATAAATTCAGGAAGACCAGCACCCTTTGAAGCAATATCTATAATTCTCTTTACTATCATGTGTGTTGCAATGCAGTGAAACATCCTTCCTTGGTGATCCAGTAAAACAAAGATAGGCCCACTCCCTATTTGAAAAGTTGGGAAGAATTTCTTTTTAACAAATCTTGCAAATCCTGATGCTATATATTTTTGTACATTTTTTACTGTATGGACTTTGGCCATGTTTGCTAATCTTCTATAATCATTTTCCATAGCAGCAGTATCCCATAAAGTGGGATCATTCACTATAGGAATCCACAATCGAGCTATCCCGCCCTCAAAAAAGAGGGATGCAAGCACCAGTGAATAGTCAATGTCAAGGTGTGACGTTATAAGCAATACCAACTTTTTGTTCTCAAATGAACGTAATCCTACCTGCAATAATCAAAATGGATGCAAATATATTTTTAAAAAAATGCATGTGTGGACCCATGGAGAGAGAATTTTTAGTTAATAATATATTCCGCGATGTATATATGCTATCTGTTATCCATTTTTGATAAATCAAATTCATGAGAATGCTGAATAATTAGTTTCACCATTAATTAAACAATATCAAATTTCAATTTAGGTTCATACCATTCTGCCTTTTGGATCAAATAAAGGTTTCTCTTTGTCAACATCATTAACATTAAATATTAATTTGAGAACATCCAAATTAGTGGAAGGGACTGGATTATCATCCGAGAATGCACACCACAATGCGTTGTAAGAATCCTCTTCTTTCTTCATTTCTGTATACAATAGAAGTCATTAAATTAATTATAATATATATTGAAAAAAATTACACTTTTCGTTCCAAAGTTATAGAATAATTGTAGAATTCGTCTCAAATTATTGGTTGTCGTGTCCACTTTTTGTCCCTAAGTTATCATTGGCTTTGCACTTTTCATCACTTAACTTTACTAACAAAACATTAGGGACGAAATTTGCAACGTTAGTATAGCTTAGGGATGAAAAAGTTAATAAAAGGACGAAGGGTGTAAAACAAATGATAACTTAAGGGCGAAAAATAAGTACAACCAATAATTATGGGCGAATTCTATAATAATCTTATGACTTTAGGGATAAAAAATACAAAATTGAATTCATTAAAATCAACCTAGCATTGGGCCGCAATAAGAGAATATATCTTTGAGAGTGACAGTTAAACTGGATAGCTTTGATACATTGTCCGAAAGCCACCTATAATAATAACAAACTCTATATTTGATAAATGACACTTAGCTTGTATGTAATAATAACTCATCCACAACATATGCATATATATTACGTAGACAAGTAATATGAAAATATGTACACATATAAATTGTATATATTTGAAATGAAATCTTACTCTGAATCAAGAGTATTCGGAAGGCAACGGAAATAGGATGCAAAAGTTATGATACTTGTAAAGATCCAATAAGAAGCATGCGGTATGACTGGTGAAGAATTATATGAAGATGATTGTGCAAGCTCAACCATGGCGTCAGTAAGACGTAAGATTGATTTGATAAAAAGGGAAATGGATTGTTGGATATGAGAGGGTGCCATAGCCAATAATGGAGTTTTACTTCCCTTGCGAGCTTGGAGGTTGAATTCTCCAAAGTTGATGGCGAAAGCGGCCAACATCATCAAAAGTTTGCCTTCCCATGGATATGCACACAACATTTTCAGAAAATGCATTACAGTTGAGTGTGGATCAACTGCAGCATTTTCTGAACACCTTATTGCTATCTGAGTATATATGAAACCAAATTTAAGCATGAAGACTATTAATTTGTTGAAATTCTAAAATTTAACTGTAAAATTACATATATAGTATTTCAAATTTATTTTAATTGCTTATTAAAAAAAAAAAAAAGAATTACCTCAAATGAAAGCCGTTTTATTTGATAGGAATGTTCTGTGTCTTTGAGTTCCATCTCATGAGGCACATTAGACATAGTGTTGTTGTCAGGTTCATTATCATCCGACTCCTCCTCATCTTCATAAATGGTTTTTCCACCCACCTATCAAAGATGAAAAAAAAAAAAAAAAAAACACACACACACACACAAAATAACATCATCACACATAAAATCTATCACCATTGCATCCAGCGTGCCAACTGGGAAGTATGTATTATTTTTGTTGATTTATTTATGGAATTTAGACAACATTTAGATATATACACAAAGGTTTACAAGCAACGTATTTTCATTGAATCTATCAAAAACATTTTCAAAAATCTAGAGTTAATACCATTTGAGGTCCTCCAAGTATAGTAGTTTTGTCACGTTTAGTTCTAAAGTTTCAAATTGACCATCTATGGTCCTCTGCCTTTCAAATTTAACTACCATTTGTAATCCAAGTTATTAACCACCCATGGTCCTTCAACTATTAAATTTTAACCAACCATGGTCCTTTCAAGAGAACCACGACTGGTTAACTTTCAAACTTGAAGGACCATGGGTGGTTAACTTGGACCACAAATAGTTAAATTTGAAAGTCGAATGACCGATGACCAATTTGAAAGTGTAGGACTAAACGTGGCAAAATCACTATACATGTGGCATTAACTCAAAAATCTATATATAACCTAGCTACCAAATTGTTACTCTATTCAATATAATTATTAATTACGTCAAGATTATACTAGTTGGAAATCCATACAATATGTGCACTTTTTAATATTTGTCGAAATATAAAACATTTGAATTCTATAGTAAGTATAATATAAGTACTATACACGATATGATGATCATGTTATTTATTAAATTATACAACAAAATAAATATGCCACCTATAGCATAACATTTCTAACATATACTTTGTATATACTCATGGTTACTTGTACCAAATGAAATATAAAATTCAATATAAATATAAAGAAATAGTAAATAGACAAACCATGATAAGAAAGAGAATCTTTTTCACAAAGTGGAGGATATAACTTGCTTTAAAATCTTTGCTAACTGGACCATGAGTATCCATAACTTCTTTCAAGATAATATTTTCATTGATGTTTGAACTTGTCGAAGGTTGGTATTCCATTTTTAAGAAACAAGGAAAAGAGAGGTAGCAAGATTAAGGGGAAAGAGATTGAGCAAACAAAATGGGGTTGCAAATTTAATTTGTGAATCAAAATGTGTGGCTAACTTCTCCTATATATAGCCAAAAATAAAAAATAAAAAATGGAATGAATAGGATGAAGATCAAATGGATAATTCGTTGCTTCAGTTGGGAGCAAATAAGTGGAATAATCAATTTATTTGCTTTAACTTTAAACCATACTTTATGCTTTTATATATCGTATAGTGGACATACCCACATGCCATGGAGTATTTTCACTCCCAACATAATTAAGAAAATAACAATGCACTATAGGCTCTGTTTGACCGAGCTTATTTAGGAGCTTATAGCTTATTTTAAGTTACTAATAAGCTATAAGCTCTGTTTGGTAATGTTCTCAAAATAAGCTCCTAGCTTAAAATAAGAGCTTATTTTGGAACACTACATTAGGTAGCGTTTTAAAATAAGCTCCCAGCTTCCTAAGTTTTTTTTTTTCCCATCTTTATCCTTATTATTTTAAAGAAATGACATAATTTACCATTCTCAATTAAAACTCTTTTCTCTTCTCCTTTATCCGCAACTTTCATCCCAAATATTATTATTATTATTATTATTATTATTATTATTATTATTATTTACAACAATATTGCTACTTCATTTTGAGATGCTAGATCATGATTATGCTAATAGTTTTATTTCAAAATGTTAATTTTTTAAAAACAATTTTAATAGGTAAACAAACTAATTTAAATTTTATGAAGATGTCCTTTTTAGTCTTTTTACATTTATCAGCTTATCAAAAAACTAATTTTACCAAACACTTTCAATCATAACAGCTAGCTTAACAGCTCTTCAGTTTTCAGCTCCGAACTTATAGCTTTTCAGCTTTTAGCTCCTTTTCAGCTTTCAGCTCCTAACTTATAGCTTTTCAGCTAGGTTTGCCAAACAGAGCCATAGTAGCTAGAAATTTAAGGAAATCAAAAAATTTAGGAAACAAGAGTTCTATTGATTGTACTTGCAACACACTCCAAATGTAAAAGAAGAGTGAAAAGAGAATGTGATACTGAGCTTGTATGTTACAGATTTATTTTTGCACCGTAATTTGTTAAGAGTGAATCATGAAAGGTGGAATATATATATATATATATATATATATATATATAATATATATATATATATATATATATATATATATATATATATATATATATATATATATATATATATATATATATATATATATATATATATATATGAAGAAGTAAAATGTAAATAAAGGAACAAACATTATGGCATTTTTATCTAGATAATTAACTATGAAAACAATGTGAAATTTCAAAATTTCACCTATTTTTTGTCATCTAACAAGTATTTATGAAGTCCAAATTAGTGGGATTGTTTAGAAAATATTGCATTTGTTTAGAAATTTACTAAGGAAAGAATATTATATTATATATATTATTAGCCTCCAAATTAAATTAAAGTTCATAGCTTTTGATGCCAGTCAACTCCAAACTGCATAGCTTTGACATGTCCATTAGTATAGAAGAAGAATGAAAAGAGGATGAACTTGCTTGGCGCTTAATTTGTCTATTAGATGGTAACTTTAATTGTTTTAGGAGTGAATATATCAACAAAAGTAAACAAAATATAGAGAAACAGAAGTTATTTTATTCTTGCATGCAATTTACTCCAAGTATAATAGAGTAAGAAAGTAAAGTAAATACATATATAACACATTTTTAAATCACATGAAGAAAAAAAAAGTAAGTAAAATGTCAATACTAAGAGAATAATGTAGAACTACTTTAAATGCTAAAATTATAGATGACAATTTCAATCTGCTCTGTGAATATATATATTAATTTGTACTTAATGCTTCATTCTTAAGTATTGACCACCGTTCCACCGTTACGTATTTCACTCCCAAGATTAAAAATAATAATAATAACAATGTAAAGATTATAAGCAGTACTTCATTGATGTAAAATAATGAGCTATAAATAGTGTACAAGAGAGGGAGAATAGTAGGAGGTTGTAACAACTTGTTCAACACACCTATTCTACAAGAACATAACTACCACAAATATAAAGAGATAAAATGTCAGCCACACATATCCTTAACACGCCCGCCCCCGCAAGATTGAGGATCCGTCGGAGACTCCAATCTTGGAACAGAATAGAAGAAACAAAGAGCGGCCCAACGGCTTTGTGAGGAAGTCAGCTAGTTGAGCCGACGAAGGAATGTGCCGCACTACCAGTGAACCATTAGAGACTAAGTCACGAACAAAGAAGTAGTCCAGCGCCAGATGCTTCATACGTTAATGGAAAACCGGATTTCTGCACACATATGTCGCACTAAGGTTGTCACAGAACATAACTGGTGGTTTCACTAGTTGCACCCGCAGCTCGTGAAGCAGATTCTTTATCCACAAGACCTCTGCAGCAGCATTCGCCAAGGCTCGATATATATTCAGATTCTGTCGACGAGCGTGACACGGACTTCTGGCGGGTGGACTTCCAAGAAACGAGATTAGCACCAAGATACAACAAGTATGCGGTGGTGGAACAGTCATCGGTAGTGCAACCGCCCCAATCAGCATCTGTATAAACACTCAGTGACAGTGGTTGCCCAGTGCGGAGAAACAGCCCATGACAAACCGTTCCTTTTAGATAACGTAGCAACCGTTTGGCCGCCTGCCAGTGCAGCTCTGTCGGTGAATGCATGAACTGCGAGAGACGGTTAACTACATAGGATACATCAGGCATAGTGATGACCAAGTACTGCAATGCACCAAGGAGACGCCGAAATTGAGTGATATCAACCGCAACACTACCAGACTGCGCAGGTAGCAACTTGCCCATAGTAGCCAATGGTGTCGAAACAGAGTTTGCACCATCCATCTTAAACCGAACCAGAAGATCTGTGATATATTGACTCTGAGACATGAACATGCCATTAAGAGTCGAGACTACTTCAATACCCAAGAAATGATGCAAGGGACCCAGGTCCTTAAGAGCAAACTGAGCTGACAGAGTGCAACAAACTTGTCAAGCCACGCAACATTGTTTCCTGTTAGGATAATATCATCGACATACACTAGGAAATAAACAATAATATCATTAGCAGAATAAACAAACAAAGACGCATCTGCTTGTGACTTCAAAAACCCACAACGGAACAAGAACTGGAAAAGTTCTAAGTACCAAGCCCTGGGAGCCTGTTTAAGACCATATAAGGCTTTGGTCAGTTTGGATACATGAGATGGAAATGACGGATCAACAAACCCGGGAGGCTGCTCCATAAACACTTCCTTGTGCAATGTTCCATTAAGGAACGCATTATTGATATCTAGCTGGCGCAAACCACAGCGATTACTCAAAGCAATGGTTAGAACAATACGGATCGTGATCGGTTTCATAACCGGACTATATGTCTCAAAATAATCCCGTCCAGCAGTCTGCAAGAACCCCTTAGCGACAAGCCGCGCTTTAAAACGATCAACCGACCCATCCGATTTGCGCTTAACACGGAAGACCCATTTGCAGGCAATTGGAACGGTCGCGCCACGGGGAACCAGTTGCCACGTGTTGTTACGTTGCAGCGCTTCGAACTCCTCATCCATTGCTTTCCTCCACCGAGCGTCTTTAAGAGCCTGGGCGACGGTAGAAGGTTCTAAAGCAGGAGGCAAGGGATGGGAAGTGGCTTGATTAATGACATAATCGGAATATCTTGGATTAGGACGACGCTCCCAGGTGGAACGGCGAACATTATGCAACGGTTGAGACGTGTCAGAGGTGGAGATAGGTTGTGAGTCAGACACGGATTGGGCTGCATGTTGACCATTTTCTGATACAGTGGGAGACGATGAATTGGACGCAGCTGACGGTGATGGTGTTGGAATTGGAGTTGGAACTGGACTCTGAACTAGAGTTGGAGCTGGTGTTGGAACGGGTGTTGGAACTGGTGTTGGATGGTTGTAGCAAAAATAAGATGTGAGCTCGGGTGTTTTATGTCGTCCTCAGGGGATTGGGGGTTATGGCACGCAATATGCAATCGCAATAAACTAGGCACTAGCATAAGGAAATCAACAAGAAGCTAAGCAAACTACAAGTTTAAGGAAATGATAAGACTAACACATATACACAAGGATAAACACAAAATAAAGAAATAGGACTCAAGCTAGGGAGCATTATCATCTAGATGCATAGCACAACCTAAGGATTGGGGAAAATCACACAACCAAGGAATAGAGGCGGGAATGCACGTAGGTATCCTAGTCTACGAACCATTCTCATGATTAATAAACAAGGATTAGAACAAGGAATTGCCCCACTTTCGTGGTGAATCAATTCCAAGTCCATCAAGCACACAAAGCATCAAAAGCCCCCAACTTCCCCCATTTTCATAGGAAAAATCGGGTTTATGCAAGGAGTAGCTTGGAATCTTAACCCAACTCTCATTGAGGCCAATAATCCTCCAAAACATGTCAATGAATGTTGTACACCAAGCATTAACAAAATACAAACACAAATCCTTCATAAACTCAAGAACCCTAGGTAGGCAAAATCCCCTTTATGCAATAATCACAAATCAAGCATCAAGATATATAATACAACTCTAACTCAAGTCCATAAACTAACTACTCATGATTCAATAGCATAAAGAACACAAAAACATAAATGTAAAGCATAAACATTGCAAGATAAAGAGATAAAAGGGAGAAGAAAACTTCACTAAGAAATGGATGGTAAATCTTGGAATCCAAGTGTTGATCCCTTGAATACAAGCTTGAAATATGATAAAGAACCTAAATCTACACCTAATCTAACACTAAAATATGAAAAGAAAGAGTAGAAAATAGTTAGGGTTCGAATGGGGTTCAAAACCGAGTAGAAATGAGTGAAAACTCAGCTAAAATAGAGCAGAGACGGGGGGCTCGACGCGTCGAGCGTAATTCTCGACGCGTCGAGAAATTACAGAATGTAAATCACGACATTCTGCCAAGATTCGACGCGTCGAGTGCTGATCTGCAACAGAACTTCGACTTGCAGGCTAATTTTGACCCTTTTTTCTTCAGAATTAGGCTTCGGTGTCTTCATGAAAGTTGTAGATATTCGAGTCTTCTTTCAAATGGAGCAAGAATCACTTAATTTGGACAATCCTAGGCCGAGATATGATCAAATTACCAAACAGTGGCCAGTTTCGGGTGAAATCTGTAAGTTCGGAACTTCAACTTCAAGGATGATTTTGACCACTTTGGCTTCCTTTTTAGGCTTTGATGTCTGAATATGAGTTGTAGCCCTTTGAGTCTTATTTGCAATGGGACAAGAATCATGTAATTTGGATGTTTTTAGCTTGAGATATGGTCCAAAAACCACGACGTCGACGTGCAGGTCGGGAATTGCAATTGCATGGTCGCTTGCTTCTCTTTTGCTTTGGTTTGCCCACATGACCAAGACCATTGAAAGAACCACCCTATACTCCTTTGGAAGTGTTGCATCCATCTCCATAGCTTCATATTTGGCTCTCATTGACTCCAAATTCATCCAAAATACCTCAAAAGCACACAATTGCCTGCACTCTACAATTTATGCATCAAAAGATATAAACAAAGGAATTAAGGCACTTCTTTGCATAAAATCAAAGTGTTTGTCACTCAAAATATGTCTATACAAGGGGTAAAAATATGGACATGAATGCACTTATCATTGGAACTGGAGTTGGAACCGGTGTTGGGACTGGTCTTGGAACACCCACGGGTTCTACCTGTGTAGACAAAGGAGACGACTTGCACAAAATATTGCGTGATTCTGAATCATGAGAATCAGAAGGTAAGCTTTAGATGACTTTTGCAAATCGTTATAAGGAAACACATGGGGCACAAATCTCACATGCCTAGATACATAAATACGATTCGAACTAAAATCTAGAAACTTATAACCAGATTGGTTGTTCGAGTAGCCAAGGAAAATACATGGACGTGACTTTGGTTGTAGTTTCTTGGTGTTATAGGGACGCAACTAGGGAAGACATAGGCAACCAAAGGGTTGTAACTTGGCATAATTAGGCAATTGTTGAAACAAGACATAAAACGGGGATTGGTTACCTAAAGTCGGAGTAGGGAGCCGATTAATAAGATATACAGCTGTCTGAAAGGCGTAGGTCCAGTATGAGGACGGCAAAGACGGGGAGTGAAGAAGAGACATGCAAGTTTCCACGACATGCCTGTGACGTCGCTCGGTGACACCATTGAGCTCAGGAGTGTGTGGTGGGGTGGTGAAATGAGAGATACCGTGAGTATTAAAAAATGGCCCAAGTCTCATGAACTCGCCCCCATTATCTGAGTAAACAGAAACAATTGACAGGCTAAAATATTTTTCCACTAGCTGTTTGAACTGAATGAATATTGGAAACACATCTGATTTACGTTTCATGGGATACAGCCAAATGTACTTTGAGAAGTGGTCTACAAAAATGACATAATAGCGAAATTCATCAATAGAGTACTCAGTAGGTCCCCACACATCAGTATAAACAAGTTGCAAAGGTTTAGTGCTAGCAAGTGTATTTTTAGAAAAAGGCAGTTTATGGCTTTTATGAACATTGCAGGAGGAACAATAAAAATTTCGCAGAGATGACATGGAGACTGGAACATTACAGCGTTGCAACACCTTATTCGACGGGTGACCAAGTTATTGGTGCCATTGAGACAAACGAGCCAACTGCGTAGCATGAACTGTTGGGTGAGAGACAACTGGTCCAAAATAGACACCATTAATGTTCGCCCCCGTAGCAGCGGAATCCCCGTTCGAAGTTCCTTGACCAAAAAATGAGAACCAAAGAATTCAAAAGACACACGATTAGTCTTGCATAACTGGGAAACAGAAACTAAATTAGTGTGTAACTGTAGGACACGCAAGACATTATCTAGAGTGAGAACATTAGAAGGAGTGGGAATGACAGACTGGCCAATGTGGGATATTTGTAAGGAATTACCGTCACCCAGGCGTAGTTCATCCGATCCATTGTACTCGGTGAAAGTCTGCAGAGGAGCGGGGCTTGGTGTCACATGGTGCGACGCCCCACTATCAAACATCCAGGGAGGAGACGCCCCAGTCACAGCATTAGCTGTAGGAGACATATACGGTTGCATAGGGACAACATTATGCTCTTTAAGAAATCTGGCTAGCTTGCGACATACCTTGGCTTCGTGACCTGTAAGATGACAAAACTTACAAATAATACTGGAGCGATTGTTACCCCCTTGTTGCCAATTTTGTCGGTGGGCGCCGTTATTATAGGTATTATTGCGGGCCCTCCGGTTGGAAGCTGACTGCTGGTTAGACCATGGGGGTGGCGAAGCCCGGTGAGTCATATTGGTAGTAACCAGTACCGATTGCCGCGTCTCATCCGCTGCCTTCAGCTGACGTTCATGGTCAGTCAGCACGTCCGCCAATTCACCAAAGGAAATTGGCTTTTCACGAACACGGACGACAGATATAATAGAGTTGTACTCCTCCCCTAACTGAGTTAATATATAAACAATTAGATTTTCATCCGAAACTGGACACTGAGCCAACGCAAGATCATCAACTAAGGCTCGCATGTCATTGAGGTAAGACGTAATGGACCGAGACCCTCTGATTTTTCGTGAGCTTGGCCTTGAGGGATATGATACGTCCTCGAGAGGCACTGGCGTAACTAGCAATCAGACGTTGCCACGCATCGTGGGCTGTCGTGGCCGAGGAGATGAGGGGTTGTATGGTGTCAGTACAACTACCGAGAAGTGCACTGACAATGATTTGGTCTTGACGATACCAAATTAGATGGGCCGGGTTAACGGCAGTTTGAGCAGTATCAGTGAATTTGGCGGGTTCCGTGGTGGTAACATCGATGTAACCCAGAAGATTAAACCCAATAAGTGTGGAGTGGACTTGACGTCTCCACACTGGGAAATTCGTGGTATTGAGTTTAATGGGAAAGTTTGTAGGGGCATTTAGTTGGATTATATCGTTTGTAGCTGTAGTAGTGGAAGCCATGTGGGTAGGGGAAAAAAAAACTTCGTAGGAGATTCAAGGCTCTTGATACCATGTAAAGATTATAAATCGTACTTCATTGATGTAAAATAATGAGCTATAAATAGTGTACAAGAGAGGGAGAATAGTAGGAGGTTGTAACAACTTGTTCAATACACCTATTCTACAGGAACATAACTACCACAAATATAAAGAGATAAAATGTCAGCCACACATATCCTTAACAAACAATGTATATATATATATATATATATATATATATATATATATATATATATATATATATATATATATATATATATATATAATAGAAATTAAAGCAAATCAAGATAGTTCACAAAATCTTACGAAACAAGATTTCTTTTGATTGCATGTGCGTGCAAGACACTCCAAATGTAAAAGAAGAGTGAAAAGAGAATGTGGTACTGAACTTGTATGTTACAAATTTTACTTTGCACCGTAATTTGTTAAGAGTGAATCAAGAAAGTGAGCAAAATTTGGGGAAAAAAATCATTCTTGCTTACATTATAAATTTTCAAACATAAAAGAGGAGAAATGTGAATGTGTAACACACTTTCAAGTTATATATGAAAATCTAAAATTCAAACAAAGAGACAAGCATTATAGTATTCATCTAGATAACTAGGAAAACAATGTGAAAAAGATAGAATTATTGCTTGTTTATACTAGTTAACTTGTTACATCATCAATCAAGTATCTTGTGCTTAAATGGCATGTAGTGACTCTCTCATATGGGAGGTCATGAGATTTAGTCTTAATGGAGGTCGTGTTGACTTTTTGTGCGCTTCAACCTAATTTATTTTTTTTTAAACGGTAAAAAAAAAAAACAAAACAAAACAAAAAAAAAAAAAAAAAAACTGTAGGAAAATATTTATTTATTTAGGGTTGAAGTTGATTTGGTTACAAAGATTTGCATTCCTACGTGGATCTTAATAAGAGCATCCACATTTGTTGGGGAGAATAGGGGGATAATGTAAGAGTGATTAGGAAAGAGAATATGGGAGGGGAGAGAAAAAAAGAAAAAGAAAAAAAAAAAGGAAAATTAAATTTTTTTTTTTTTTAAAAAAAAAATCAGACTGTCAGGCGCGCCTCACCGCACGCGCCCGTCATGCACATTGGTGACAGCCACGCGTGGCTGTCACCAGTGGTGGCTTTTGTGGTGGGTCCCACCATTTCTGCATTATCCCTTCATTTGCAGACCAATTATTTCTCACATTATCTCTTCCCCACATTAGTTATTATCTTGGGTGGGGAGAATTCATTCTGAAATATCTCCCTATTATCCACAAATGTGGATGCTCTAAGGGGAAGAAGAAGGAATATCCCAAAATGTGCTGAAGTTTGAGAAATTACCATTATGCCCCTATTTTTAACACTCAACTAACAGAATTTTTAACAAATGACTAAATTGTGTAAAACTATCAAAGTCGATTACTAAATTGAGCACAAAAAGTCACTTATGACTAAATTGAGTAAAACCACACTATAGTCAAGGAATATATTGAGTATGAACTCTAAATAAGATTATTATTTGAACTTAAATAATGATAGTTCACATATTTGCATACATTTTTCTTTACATTTCTTGTTAATTTGCTTGTTGCTCATAAACTATTGTATGGTTAATTTGGATGCTTATTTAGTTGTTAATTATATTGTATAGTGAAAAATTTTGAAGTCATGACTTAGATAAATGGACATGTTCGAGGTTAAAAGAAGTGAAAAGAATTAACTTTGAAATATCACGGTATAATTCACACACCGAGATTATGCTAATCACTACGTACTGAGTTAAAAGTACAATAAATCTAGATATTATAATAGTTCTAATTGGCAAGTACATGACGAAATTAGAGTATTCATAAATTTGTATTGAGATAGCAAATCTTTTCAATATTTTTTCTATATATACTAGATACAGATTTCTATCAAGATACAACATACATGCTTACAAGAGTTTGTCACGTACCCTAAATATTTATTTAAACACCTGAGGACAGGGATAAATAATGTATAACTTTCCTCTCATATATATATGCACTATTTACTATGCCCCTTTGTTACACTTAGAAGGGCTTCTACCAGTTCAGTAAGGTATAAACCAATAAGATACCAAGTAACACCTGCTAGAATGAGCTGCAGCCCAGAGCTATTGACAATATCCAATGCTAAAGAACCACCTAAATGCTCGTTTAGTCCTCTGGGTATGGGTAGCTCTTCCCCGCCCCCGAGAATCTGTAACCACACTGTAACTGCTCCAATAGTACCGGTTACTACAGGAATAGCCACGCTCCATGGCCTACTTCGATCATGCTTCTTGGCCAGGGAATCCCGCTCAGATGATTCCTTGTGTTTCTTAGAACGAGACGCCTGTGGTGAAGCTTTACTGCCCGGTGTGTTCATCTTTGTTGGCTCTGGCAGCACAAGGTTTGATGGAATCCAATACTCGTCGCTATAAATGTGAGTGGCGCTTATAGTCAGCTTTCCTTGCTTCCTAGCTGCAGCAGCCGCTTTTAGCTTCTCAATGTTGGGCTCGTTTGGCTTCCCCCCGATTAGTACTAGGCTTCGCTGAAGTTGAGTGATTCCAGAACCGGGGGATTGCCAGTATAGCCAGTTTGACATTGCTCTGATTGCTTGAATGGCAGAGTTTCGAATATCTCTTTGTTCATCCGAGACCTGAAATTGAAGATCATGGACTAATATACTAAAATGCCAATAACATATATACTAAAATTAAAAATAGTGGAATTTATACTACCGTGGAATGTGCTTTAGAAGATTTATTAGTGTTGGCATCATGAAATCTAGCCTGGAACTTCTCCAGATCGTCAAAGATACTTGATGTGCGAGCACCAACTGTATTGCCTGCTCCAATTCTAACGTTTCCCCGTGGCTTCTTGGACATTAGGAACTCCAGTGCTGCCAAGTCCGATCTCTCCACAACCCTTTTAAAAATAAATTCTGATTTAGGAAACATTACACGTAAAATAGTAATTGTGTGTGCACATTGAAATAGGTCTTCCATTTCTAAACTGAAAGCACATCATATTGCAATGAAGTATAAAAAAGCTTCCTCATCATTAGAAACCACAGTTTTTAGCCTATTATAAAACCGCAAAAGAATACAAGTCAAAGGTTAAACACTAAGCAAGATCTAGAATCTCAAACTCTAAACTAGTTCCTTTAATTTCGTGATGTAAAGTAAGTTGAGGGCAATCTTACGAGATGCAATCAACCGGGCATGCACCAATGGCTTCTTGAATTTTGTGCTCGGGATCTGCCCATTGTGCAACAACTCTGGCTCGTCCATAAACAGATTCAACCGCAAATGTTTTCTCAGCAAATAAAGCACATTTTAGGCAGCCTACACACCTCACTTCATCAACAATTACAGCTCTATTTTCACTCTCTGGACCAAACCATGCAGAGTATATTGGCTTGCCTGTGTAGCCTCGTAAATCCGCAAATTTTGATTGCTCCTGCATTTTTCAAGTACACATACAACTAAACTGAAAGCGGGCATCATGAAAGAATAAGGTGAAATATATATTCACAGAAGCAGACTTTGATATTGAATGATGAGTTCCATGAATTCTCCCTTCTTGAGCATAGTCATTCTTTAAACTACTGCACTTAGTGCACTCAATATAGACTAATGAAATTGGCAATCATTATACCATGGACCATGGTTCGCCTCGTAAGGTGGACCATCAAGTTCATTTAGTATATTGAATGTTCATTTTTTATATACTGAAGTTCATTTTTAGGTATATGATCAAAAAATGAACTTTCAATACACTAATAATGAACATTCAGTCTATTAAAAATGAACATTTATTTCTGGTCCACATTGCAAACCATAGTCCATAGTATAATTTACCTCCTTGCATTATAAACTCTAGTCCAAAACTAGATTCAAATTATGTGCCTACTATAATTAACCTATTATTTATATGTGATTAACATATTATATGTTTTCAAAAAAAAAAATAGTATATATTTATTTTATGCATATATTTGGAAGAATATATTTATATGCATATATAATATGTTATGCTGTGCAGACACATAATTTGAATGCTATTTTGGACTAGGTGCAACTATCCATGGTATAATTTGGCAATATATAGTAAATACAGTATAGAGATGAAAATTTTGGTAAAACTAACTCACCAAAGAGTTCAATCAAGGTAAATAATTTGTTGATTGGGAAAGAAAACAGAACAAACTAGGGAACAAATTGCTAACAAGTTTCCATAAAAGGAAATTAGGGCTAGGAAAGAGAGAGCGACCTTATCGTAGACGAAACGGGAGTTGGGGTCAGACAGAAGAGCGTAGGCTTCGTTGAGTACGATGGCCATGTCGTGACCCGCCGGGCCGGCGATGTCCGGGTGGCACCGCTTCTGTAAAGCTCTGTAGGCCAGCTTGATCTGCGCCTGATCGGAGGAGCTATCGATGCCCAGAAGATCGTAGAGGTCAAGATCCCCAAGGGATGAAGAAGAAGAAGACGCAGCAGCTTTGCAGGAGAGTGATTTCCGATTCCATGGATTTGGGAATGGAAATCTTTGGAGGTTTGGGAATGTGGAGGGGAGATTGGGGGTGACGATTACACTGCTCCTCCGTATGGGAAGAGCTGAAGTTGGTGAATGCATTTGCATTTTGCAGTGAGAAAAGGGAGAAAAGTGAAAAGTGTTTGTGAGATGTCCATATGATATTGGCAAAGAGATATTTCTATGCATTTCTACATTTCTGACACGTCACTTGGATATGGTGGTCTAGGCAGATATTTTACATTTGCAAGTCAAAGTATTTTAGGATTATTAGAGCAACCCTATCAATGAATTTCGGGGAGATTTTTTCATTAACAAGTTAAAAGGCTTAGCCTGAATCCAATGGAATGGCTCGATAAAATTGAAATTTTTAGAAAGCTGCATACATCAAATGAGGCAAACTAAACAGGAATGGAGGTCAAACAAAGATGAACTCACTCCAAAAGACAGTAACCAAAGTAAAAGGTACAACCACCTACTGACCAATTGGACAAAAGAAATTATATACTGATTTTCTTCTTAACCAAACCACATAACATAGGACAAGGTGATCATATATATAAGGCCCAAAAATGTTTCATCCACCATTTTTAATTCCAGACAACAAACTCAATGGCTTACGATAATCGTCTAGAGAATGTTTCATCATTATCACCTTCAGTTTCAGGGTTAGGATACAGCTCTTCATCAAAAGCATCTTCAGTTTCAGAGTTAGGATACTTCTCGTCACTAGAAGCAAATCTCATCTCTTGACTAACCAAATAAGCAAGATCATGTCTGCCAGCATCTTTATAGGCATCTATAACAGCATTGTACAATGACTCATTATGCTCTATAGCTCCATATTTCAGTTGCCTATATACCCGCTCTATGCCTTGAACCAGTCGAGCTTTCCCATAACAACATACAAGATTGACATATGTAACAATGTCAGGTTTCACTCCCATGTCTTGCATTCTCATGAAGATGTTCAGAGCTTCGTCGATTTTCCCTGATGCTCCATAAGCATATATTGCAACATTGTAGGCAAAGGAATGAAGCTCCATGGCTGGTTTTAAGAAGGCTTCACAGGATTCAAGTGCAAATGCATGCAAACCCACCGCAGAAAAAACAGAGGCTATCACAGCTTGGCCCGCATAATCTTTCCTTTCCTGATAAGACAACTTAAGTTGACGGATCGCTTCAGCTGGAAAATCTCCCTTCTGTAATATGGTGAATAATATTTTAAATGTAGGCTTGTTTGGTAGAAGCTTCCTATCCACCATTTCATGCAATAATTCACCACATTTAATAAGCTGCCTATTTGCACAATAACAAGTCATTATCTGGTTAAATGTCGTGCAATCCCTTAGAAGTCCTAACTGTCTCATCTCCTCTGCAATTTCAATGGCTTCACTGAGCATACCTTTGTTCTTGTAGGCATATATCATGGTTGAAAAAGTAACCTCGTCTGCCTTGCCTTTCTGATGCAAGTCGTGAAATATCAATTTTGCTTCAGACACCATTCCAAAGGCTGCATACAGATTGAGCATACTATTGGATGCCACAATATCGGGACCCGTATCCAAGTTTTGCATTTTCTGATATAATCGCTCTGCTCCTTCTACTGAACCAACCTTACTATATGCCTTAATCATTGAAGTCAAGATAATTTGATTTGCTGATACCCCAGATTCTTCCATCATGTGGAAATAGTTTATGGCTTCTTCAAAGTTACCAGCTTCAGCAAACCCATCAATTAAAGATCCATATACTATCTCATTTGGTTTTACACCAGTTTTTAGCATTTCTTGAAACACGTCAATTGCATCAGAAAGCCTACTCATGCGAACATAACTAGCAATTACAGCAGAGAAGGTCAGACATGAAGGTTTAAATCCAACATCTCTCATTTCAATTAAAATTTTCTTTGCTTGGTCCACTAAATCACCCGTAGAAAACATCTGAATCAGAGAGTTGTAAGTGCACTCATCTGGCCATGTTCCTTGACTCTTCATGCCCTTGAAGAGGAAGAAAGCTTTATCGTAAATCTTTGCCTTCCCATAAGCTTTAACCATGACATTATACTCCAACACTGTCTTCTTCTGTCTGAGCATATCCCTCTTACTGAAGAACACATCCTCTGCTTCAGCCCAAAGTCCGTGATTTGCATAAGCATCCATGATGGCAGCATAAGTCTTTGATGACAACCCACCAATCAATTGACATTTTTCAAGAAGGGCATTGGCTCGCTCAGTTAATCCTTCACTGATATACAATTCCATAACAACTGGAAGAGAGCGTTCATCAATACGCATACCTAAACTCTCAATTTCTTTAAGCACAGCCTCCACTTCATGTAACATTTTTTCCTTGCATAGTATATTAAGAATGGCTTTATGGGTTACAACATCGGGGAAAAGTCTAACCTCCCTTATCCTTCTGTAATACTGAAGAGCTAGGTCTATTCTTCCTGCATTGGCATACAGAGAAAGGAAAATGTTATATGTTTTTGTGTCGGGATGTATCCCTCTTTCCTCCATCTTAGAAAGCAAAGCTTCAGCTTCATCCAAATTACCAAGATTCCCACAAATAAAGATCATGGTGTTGAAAGTATAAGTATCCATTGCCACCCCATTCTTCAGCATTTCTGCAAACACATCTCCAGCATCTTTCATTCGGCCTGCCTTCCCGTACAAATCAATAAGAGCATTGTATGTTGCCGTAAGTCGAGGCTTCCTAAGAGAGCTCTCTGCCTCTGACAACTCCATAGCCCTAGATGGATTCCTAACTCCTGTCCTGAAAAGCTCAGTCAACAAAAATTGCTTCAAACTGAAGGGCTCGGAACTAGAACTCGAGTCCGACTCACCAATGGAATCCAAATCAAGATCATCCAACTTGATTTTCCCAACGCACCAATCTCTATAAAACCTATCTGCCCGGTCATACTCCCCTGCATCCTTCAAAACCCTAACAACTGTGGTCATGGTGACCTCGTCCGGGAAAATTCCTCTCAACTTCATATGCTTAATCCAAAGAAGTGCCTCCTTCACAAGGCCTGCTTTTCCATACACATCGACAAGCATTCCATATGTATTGTTTGTAGGTAAAACCCCATCTTTTGCCATTTCAGTCCAGCACAGTCTCAACTCATCCCATTTTCGAGCTCTACCCAAAGTGCGCAACACAACATTGTAATGAATCACATTAGGCACATACTCTTTCCGCGACTTCATCCACTGAAAAACCCTAACAACCTTCTCCCAACTACTCTGTTCTTTGAGAATCACAGTGAACTCCTTGTCACTGAGCTTCCCATAATACAAATCAAGGGTCTTCTCCACCTCATTCTCAGTCGCCAAAGTACGCAAAATTGACGGCAATACACCTTCAGACCCTTTCCTTTTACCATTAATTACACTTTTCGAAGGAAAAGACACAGTTTTTGAACAACACTGAAGCTTAAACCCTGCATAAACCCTAACTCTTTTAACAACCCGGGCAGGTATAAATCTTTGATTTTTGAGAAGGGATTGGTGCTCTGGTCGTGTGGTGCTGTGAGATGGGTGAGCGTGCAAATAAAACCCTTGAAAATCCATAGAATTGAAGGGAGAATGAAAAAATACTTGCAGATATTTATACGGCGGAGAATATGAGACTTCCTTGACACCAGTTTCGCCAATTTTCTGGGTCTCCCACTAATATGGAGGAGCTGTGTAGATGAAGTATCACTGCGAGCTCACGTGCTTAATTCTTCAGCGATGAAAGGCCAACTAAATCAGAATACAACTCCTCCGGAGGAGCTGTGAGCTTGGACGGCGATGGAGTTCATCCGCGGTAGTTTGAGTTGAGGTTTCCGGCGACTAGGGCGCGGTCAAGACCTCCGGTGGAGCAATGAACAAGAGAGAGAGAGGTTATGTCCCGTGGGATTGGCGGTAGGCGGCGGAAAATGTTAAAGAACCTGAGAAGGTCGAGATTTTTTTGTTAATAATCTTTAAACGAGACAATGAATTTTTTTTTTTTTTTTTTTTGAAAGGTAAGAATGAACTTTTATTAAACAAATCGTTCAATACAAGAAAGAATTGTAAAAATTCAAACAAAATAATCAGGTTGTTGTGAAGAGGTCGCTCTAGCTATTGCATAAACACACTTATTCTTTGATCTAGGAACATAGTTAAAAGACACTACTTCAAAGTGTCTACGAACCCCTTACAAGCTTCAATCATGCATTCCGTATATACAAATTTTATTTAATTTAATAAAATTAAAGAGTGAAAATTTTCATTTTAGTCTTCCATAAGTATCTATTTGAGTTAATTTCACTTTTGATCCTGTAATTATTAAGGTGTTATTAATTATAATTCATAAATTTTAAAATTATTAAATTAATATCGTAATTATATAATTTTTTTTCAATTTCAGTCACTAGACGAAAAGTTGTGAGGGCAATTTAGTAATTTAGTAATGAGTGAAAAATCAAATATTAAATTGTCTTTATTATTTTACCCATTAAATTTTTTCGACAGCAATCTTATTGGAATGATTGGAATTGAAAAAATTAAAATTAATAGTTTTAAAACGCGTAGAGTTATAGACTGCAATTAACATAAAAAATGTTAAAAATTGATAGTTTTAAAACTCGTAAACTGCAATTAAGAACATCAATAATTATAGGATCAAAGGTAAAATTAATTTTATTGTAATATTATTATCTGTAGTCCTTTGTTTTTAATTTAATTATACTTACCTTTATAACTTTGTTGGGACTTGGGATTATATATTTGGTCTTTTATTGCCCTTTTTATTAAATTAATGTTAACTTCTTAGATTTTTTGTTTAGAGCAAATTACACATTTGATCCTATGATTATAAGGTGCGTGTTAATTTCAGCCCGTGACTTCTAAAACTAACAATTTAGTCTTTTAACTATGTTTTTTTTTTACCAGATTTGATCATCCTGCCCAAATCATCGGTGAAATTGGTCAGAAAAATGTAACCCATTTTAAAGTATTTATAATTTGGGGCAAAATGGTCCTTTCACGTCAGTTCTTCTTCTTCTTTGCTGCGCCTACGAAAAAGTAAAACCCAGGAGGGTGATACGAAACCGTCGATGGCTCTATGTGAATTTGCCCATTTTTCCACGGTCATCTCCAACTCTCTCACTAACTGGAAAGCATTGATGTGTCTATGGATGTGTGTCCAGTTGCGACACCCACCCCACCACTATCGATGCCCGCCGATGGCTCCTGGAAATTGGATCTTCTTGTTCTCGCTATCGCGTTTGAGCCCGACGGCAATCTCTCTCACTTGATTTTCCAGCGATCTTGGAATGTTGCGAATGCAGAATCAGGTTCGTGATTCACCACCAAATTTTCGACACTGATGTGCAGTATGTATTATCCCGAGTTCGGGTACACACGAGACTGCTTTAGCAATCTTCTTTAGCTGCTGCCACTACTACTTAAGATCGCATTTCAACCATACTATAGCTTATGCTGGTTTATTCTCTCGAAACTTATGCAGCGCGTTGTGGCTGGAGTGGCAAACGGAAGCGGGGACCATTAAAATTGAGCGAATTGTTATATGTGCCTCAAGATTTTCTATCTAGTAAAGAATTGCAGTATTCAAGTTGATATACAGTTCATCTTCATCTTTTAAGTAATTAAGAAATTATCAGCTTATCTTTATTTTCTTTTCTGTAGGCACAACAAGGAAGAAGAAGAAGAAATGCGTGAAAGGACCATTTTGCCCCCAATTATAAATAATTTAAAATGGGTTGCGTTTCTTCGGCAAAATTTGGTCAGGAGGACAAAATCTGCTAAAAAATATATTTAAAGGACTAAATTGTTAGTTTTAAACGACACAGACCGAAATTAACACACCCCCTATAGTCATATGATTAAAAGTGTAATTTGTTCTTCTTTTTAGTAGAGTTTTTCGCACTTTTGGTCCCACGACTATATTGGCACTATCAGATCTACGACTTTCAAACCTTGCAATCTCGATCCATGACTATTATTTTTGTTTGCAAAAATAGTCCTTCCGGCCCATTTTATGTCAATTTTTCGGTCTGTTTTTGTCGAAAATGGTTCTTATTCCGGTGAGAAATTGACGAAAAATGGGTCGGAATGACCATTTTGTTTAATACAAAAAAAAATAAAAAATAAAATAATAGCTGTTGACCGAAATTATAAGATTTGAAAATAATGAATCAATCTTGATATTATCACTATAGTCATGAGACTAAAAGTGTGAAAAACTCTTTTTTAGTAAATGCTAACTTCTTAGATAATTTGATAATTTCACAATTTTAATTTTTATGTCTATTATAACAAACCAAAAACATATTATAGGATTTATAGCATAGCCCTAATCCCTAATCCCTTATTCAGATATGCTGCTTCTCGGCTTCTCCACTCCAAAGTCCGTCACTTCCACTCTTCCAGTCCTCCACAGTTCCACAGCCCATAGAGGACGCGAACGTGACGGCGGTTCTCCAGCCTCGGCGACATTCCGGTCAAAACTAAGTCGCCCCTCAGCGGCTCTGCTTCACGCCTTCACTTAGTCGCTATAACTATTGGTATTCTACTCGTGCTTATTAATTATTGTATTAATTCTCTATTGAAGGTCAATGAATGCTGCAACTATATATATCATACTTTAGAATTAGAATGAAAGGTGAGATCAATAGTTTTGAGTTAATTATTGATTTGCATAGGCTGGAATTTGTTCGTACCTTCAAATTTGTCATGCATTGCTTGAATGTGGTTCGAGTGTATATTCTTATCACTCTTCTCTAAATTTTATATAATATGCAAAAAATTCAACTAGTTGAGAAACAATTGGGAGAAATGAAATAAGACGGTGAAGCATTCTATATAAAGCTTTTGTGTATTAAAATTGAAACTTTAGAGTTAAAGCAAGAGTTTCTGTTTAAATACATGTTATATATTGCTTGTTTTAGTTGTTATACCTGAACAATGATTGAGCCCTTGTTGTATATTGAAACTTGTGTATTTTGTTGTTTTTGTGTTGTTGGCATTGCGATTTTATTTGTCTTTTGGAAAACTTGTCCAATTTTAAAGGTAAACTCTGTCAAAATTTTAATCATATCTTAATGCATTTTCTTATTTACAGGCAGGGAATAAAATGGATATCACAAAATGCTGGGCAAGAGTGGGCATATTAAGGGGCTATTTCTTGGGGTTGAAGAGTTTGTATATTTTTGCCTGCTCACAACTAGATATTGCGTTCATCCTAAGGTTAGATGTCCGTGTGTGAAGTGTTAAACTGAAATTTACCCACCACGGGATGATTTTAAGGTTCAACATTTTAGAACTGGTTTAGGGCTAAAGAATTTGATGATATGCATTCATTTCTCAAGGCACTCTGATATGTATAGAAATCTTGGTAAGCATCGGCTTATATACCGTGCTCGCATTTCCAACTATGTGAAAACTGGGCTTGTAGAAGAAGCAATCCAGGTGTTCAATAAGATGATTGGATCAGAGTGCAGGGTTTTCAGCATTGATTACAACCGGTTCATTGGTGTCTTGATTAAGAATTTGCGCTTTGACTTGGCCAAACAGTATTATAATGAGATGAAGCCCAATGGTTTCTCTTTGAATTCACTTACGTATTCAAGATTTATTTCTGGGTTGTGTAGAGTTAGGAACTTTAAACTTATTCATCAACTTTTAGATGATATGGATAGGCTTGGGGTAATCCCTGATATTTGGGCATATAATATGTACTTAAATCTTTTGTGTAGTGAAAACTTTCTGGATTTAGCCTTGCAGATGTTGAGAATAATGGGAGAGAAAGGGAGGGAGCCTGATGTGGTCAGCTTTACTATTGTTATTAATGGGTTATGCAGGACTGGAAGATTTGACAATGCAGTTGAAATATGGGATATGATGATCAGGAAAGGTCATACTCCAGACAACAAGGCTTGTAGAGCAGTTGTACTGGGTTTGTGTGAGAGTGGGAAGGTTGATATGGCATATGAACTTACTTTGGGTGTTATGAGAAGTCGAGTTAGGTTTGACATAGAGATATACAACATACTTATTGATGGGTTTTGCCGAGTTGGAAGGATTGATAAAGCTCAAGCAATTAAGACATTTATGAGAAGAAATGGATGTGAGCCTGATTTGGTTACTTATAACATTTTCTTGAATTATTCTTGTAACGATCTTATGTTGGGGGAGGCAGAGAGAATGATAGAGAAGATGGAGATCGGTGGGATGAAGCCTGATCATTACAGCTACAATCAGCTTCTTAAGGGTCTATGCAAGGCCAGGAAAGTGGATAAGGCTTACACATTGATGATAACTAAGATGGAACCCAAAGGCTTGGTTGATGTTGTTTCTTATAACACAATAGTTAGAGCACTCTGCCAGACAGGCCACTCTAAGAGCGCATACAAGCTATTAGGAGAGATGAGACAAAAGGGCATAACTCCTGATGTTGTAACTTTTACAATTCTAATAAAAGCTTTCCTAGGAGAAGGAAATTCCAATGTGGCCAAGATGATTCTTGACCAGATGGCACAGATGCATCTCTTTCCAGATCGTGTATTGTATACTACTATTATTGACCATCATTGCAAGACTGGCAGAATAGGATCAGCTCAGAGCACTTTCCATGACATGGTAGAGCAGGGAGTGACCCCTGATGTTGTTTCCTACAACGCACTGGTTTATGGGCTTTGCAAAGCTTCTAGAGCTAGTGAAGCTATGCGTCTTTATGAAGATTTGCAAAAGAGAGGTTTATACCCCGACGAGGTTACCTTCAAGCTAATTATTCAAGGACTAATTCAGGAAAAGAAACTTTCATGGGCTTGTGCAATCTGGGATCAGATGATGGAGAAGGGCTTTACACTTGATAGTGATTTATCTGAAACTCTAATCAATGCTATGAACAGGAAGGACGTTTCCTCCAAGGATATCAGCAAACCAGAAGCCTAATGTTGAAGGTGAAATTTGGTTAAAGTGTCGTCGATTTTATTCACAAGCTTCTCCTAATGGAGCCAACTTGATGGTTTGAGAGCAAGACTCACTTCTCGATGTAAGTTGTCAAGTCGATCTTATAATTGACGCAACCTCATACAACTTGACATTTGCTTTCTGTGTTCCTGGACTTATACTACCTTTTCTTGCAGGTGATGCAGGAATGAAGATGCAAATTTCCTAAAGAGATCCTTATCCAAGTATGATGCACTTTTTGATAAATTATTGATCATTTCTTGTTTACCCATGAATATGTTTAAGTTGATACCTTTTTATTTTTTGGTCAGACCACGAGGTGTCCTGAGCAAGTTCTAACTATAGGAGACACCTTTAAGCCCGTACCATACTCAGACTGATCTCCGTTCGCACCGGGCCGGCCCTATTAAGGGGCAAAGTGTTGGCCAGATTAGTTTTTCCATACAAGGGGCCAAGGGGGGGTTCGAACTCCCAACCTCTCTTAAAGAACGAGAGTGCACGGCCACTCACGCCAACCAAGTTGGTTATTTAAGTTGATACACTAGTTTGCTGCTTGTCATTCCTTGCATGCTAACTGTAACATCCATCTTAAAGTAAATATTTACTGAGTTACAATTCTTATTTTACATTTAGTCAATAAATTTTTAGGATTATAGTTTTGAAGCAATTGTAGGGAGTGGCAATGGTAAACCATAATATATGTAACATATACATGCAACTTAAAAAAAATACCCAAAGAGGAGGATGTAAATAACAAAGGGAAAAGGTAAAAATAAGTCATTTAACTCTTATGAAAACAATAATTAAACCATCAAATTTTAAAAGTTGTAAATTAACATGTGAACTTGACAAAATAGTGCAATTGGCTTTCAAAAAAACTTGTAACCAATTTTATTGTTGATGTGGCAGCTTATGTAGACATTGTTATGGTGATATGAACTTTGAATTGGCTACTGCTAATCATTAACAAGTGTTAAAAGTATGCTCACTGAAGGATGGACAAGGTAGTATAGGATAAATGTTATTAAACATGATGTGTTTGTTGACACGATTAACGATGTCATTTTGGATTAGCATCTATAATCTTTTGTTCTCAAAAGGTTGAATCTCCAACCTCAAGGGCACTCCACGTTCCGGTCCAACAGAGCATAATGTAAATCATGGTAACTCAGCTGAACACAGGGACTAGTCTTTTGCTTACTACGCACAAGGAGTCACTCTCACTTTGAGAGATTGTTCCCACTTTGTCATTGGTGAAACTTGATCTTGGGTCATTATTGTTTTCAAACTTTACCCGTGTGACTAATTGAGTTGTCCATGTTGGCTAGCATCTATAATCCAAGATGAGCATGGCTCATGATATATATTAATGAAATCATTCACATCTAAACAACCATGTAAATTATTATTCAATAATTGATAGATCGGTGTTGACATTTTTTTCTCTCAAAAGGTTGAATCCCCAACCTCAAGGACACTCGCCTCCATACTCCAACCTGACCGAACATTTGAGAGGATGTCAATCACGGTGACTCAAGAGTTCACCGGTGTTGACATTTTCTAACATAGTCACTTGCTAAACTATGTACTTCGTATGTAGTAATTACAAGTTGTAGTATTTTAACAGATAATATTCTCATATTAATTAATGAGTTCATTATCTCAACAATCAATTGTAGTATTTTAGTGAATAGTTCCCTTATTAATGAATTTTTCCAATATGAACAACAGTTGATAAATATATACTCGTATTACAAGAACCAATAACTTTACAAATTTATACTATATATTAAAAACAAAATCCTTTATTTTAACTTCTTGTCCAAAACAATCCTATACTATTAAGATTTGCGTAATATTGTAAAATAATGTAATACAATTTCTAATAGAATACATTATTTTTTATTTTCGTATTTGTACTACAATTTTACATTAAAATTCATATTCGTAATACAATACAACCATATTCCATTATTAGTTTTATAATTCTCCATTAATTCTCTGTTAAATTTACTAAATTCATAACTCCCATTAAAACACAATTGTCGGGCTAAATTATTAAGATTTAAATAAAAAATTCTTAAAAACATGCATGCTTAATTCCCCGGCGTGTATCTTCTGGCAATCATATAGAAGAAACCTAATTCCATACAATATTGATAAACCCAGTTAAAATTAAACTCAATCTCCCAACTCCATGTTGTACTCAAACACTCCTAAATCACCTATAAATATAGCCCAAAATTCAGCACTCTATCACCAAAACTAAAACAGAAGATTGAGGAAGAGCAATTTGAAATTTGACTTTTCAATCAAGTAAAATTTATATTCTCACGTTTTTCTTGATTAGACAAGCCTTTATCTGCAGGGATAAGAAAAAGACTTGCAAAGAACAATACAACTGCAACGAATAAGGAAAATTGCTCGGTTCAATAGAGTGGTATTTTCATCGTCCACTGGAAATCAATCATCAATCATTCCTAAAGATTAATGCTCCATTCAGGAACCATACTAGAGGTAGCTTTATATCGTCAATTGTTGCCGGAGATTGTCCATCGCTTCACTATTTTCACTGTATTTGCGTAAATTGAAAGAGAAAAGACAAAAATGAATGTTCACAGCAAATGATTCAATGGATTAAATCCTTGCTGCATGAAGTGTATGATTGCATGTTCACTACGTGGTTAATTGCGCACTACCCACAACATATATATATATATATATATATATATATATATATATATATATATATATATATATATATATATATATATGCTATTCAGATACTAGCTATTTTGTCTGATTCACATAATGCTAAGTCCTGAATTGGTTATGCTATGACTTTACCCCCAATGTTTTATGTGAGGACAGTAAATTAAAGCTTGTGTTGCACAAATGATAAATGTGTATATTTAAGAATATTTGACAAAGCATATATAGTGTCAAAGTGCAACTCACGTGAACTCTAGAAGAGTCACGAGGATGTTATACAGAATGTTCACTCTAGTGACAAATATCTTGAAAATTGTACCATATTCCTTTTTTACACTTATTTTGTAACAATGTTTTCTTTATATTAGAACGTGTAGACTTTGAAGATTGTTATCTTCAGGGGGAGTGTCATTCATTTGAATCCATCCTGAAGATTGGGTCTGAAGACCAATGACTGTACTCTTTTTTCTTTGACTGGGTTTTAATGGTGTTTTTTTAATTAAAGATTTTTAACGAGGCAGCTAGTGCAATACATGCATGAGCACATGTATCGCGTTCCATTTCCTCATCAGGTTTTTCCCACTAATTTTTTCTAGTGAAGTTTTTAACGAATCATGAATGTGATATAGTGACATCAAAGGGGGAGAGTCGCGAACCCCAAAATCTAATTGATTTAAAGTTGTACTCTTTTTTTTTAGCTAAGTTTTTTTTCTCGCTGGGTTTTCTTAGCCTAATGTTTTTAATGAGGCAACATTATATAACACATGTATTAAAATATCTTATGTACTTTTTTCTCGACTAGATTTTTCCCACAAGATTTTTCTAACAAGGTTTTTTTTTTTTTTTTTTTTTTTTTTTTTTTTTTTTTTTTTTAATGAGGCATGAATACATTAAGATAATGGCTAAGGGGAAGTGTTATAAAGATATGAGTTTTATGGCCATTATCCTACTTTTATGGGTGTACTTCCGTTACAATTTCCTGTTTTGTATATGTATAGACATTATCGATTATCTAATTAGATTGGTGCCCTGAGTTTCCTTAGTTCACTTTATCTGATCTTCTTTTTGTATGGTTTTGCATGCACAATTTAAGATGTTTCTAAGTATAGAAAGAAGTCATGTCTAGTGTGTGTGTGTGTATATATATATATATATATATATATGAGTTTAAGGTTTTTTTTTTTTTTTTTTTTTTGAAAAAAAAATATGAATTTAAGGATTGGATGGTGAAACAACATAAACCAGCACGGCAGACTGAAGCTCTGAAGGTTTCTTATTTGAAATTTATATAACGTAAAGCGTTTGGGTTTCACATTGCGGGGATAGCTCAGTTGGGAGAGCGTCAGACTGAAGATCTGAAGGTCTCGTGTTCGATCCACGATCACCGCATTGTTTTAAATATCTTCTTTGGAAGCATTTTGGGGGAAAAACATTATTTCTCTTTTTATTTTTTTTTTATTTTTTATATAGGTTTAATAGTAATAAACTCCACAGAAGATAGCTTGGAATAATTGATGGAATTTGTGAAATAAATTGTCCATTGTGATCGTCTGCTTAAACAACAAAGGCCTTCGACTCAAGTTTCTTTTTGGAATTATAAATAACCATTTGCATAACACTAGTCTTAAATAATTTGTACTAATATCACCTTCTTCTTTTTTTTACCATGACTTTTTTAATTTCAATAAATAAAATTGTTTTTTTGTTTTTTTTTTTTTTTTTTCATTTTTTGCCTTTGCACAACTCAACTTCTAGACATGTAACCATGATGGAGAAAATTGTTTGAATATCTACTAAATTATAAAGGAAACAATAATATTGCTAAGGTTCTAGTTGGAATACAAAAGATATATGTTGGTTCAAGCATATACAATGATAAGTTAGTTGTGCATTTTAATTTAATTTATTTATTGAAATTTATAACATTTCCTATTTTTTTTATTGAATGCTACTGGCTCTATTACATTGTAATATCTGTTCAAATAACATTTCCTAATTTTGTTGTGATTTCGTGTATATGCGATATTCTATTTTTATTGGTTATTTTTTTGACTTAACTGTTGGATTATATATCTTATCACAAACTCTCCACTTGATTGTTGGACCAGTTAATGAAACATTGATATTATTTAGTGTGTAATGAAAATCAAATAGAAAGTAACTCTTCAACTTTTCATATATATTACACTTTTCCTCATAAGTATTACAATTTTGCTCATATGTAACTCTTCAACTCTTAACATTATATATGTTAATTTAAAAGTATTACGGAGTATATTTTTTTTCACAAGTATTATATTTTTTCTCAAAAGTAACAATCAATCAATTTATTACTGATTTAGGACTCCATATTACAAGTTTTCTCATGTTCAACCTCTAAATATTACATTTTTATTTAAAATTATTAATTTTTTTTTTTTTTTATAAAAAGTATTATTACATTTTTTTTTTGAAAGCCAGAAAAGATACTTCATTAATAGCTCACAAGAGCAGCAATACATGAAGGCGGGTTTGTTAACCACGACCCTAGGACAGATGAAGAATCCGTCGCCCGCGCCAGAACATGAGCTACGTGATTCACTGACCTCTTGACATGGCGAACCTGAACGGTCCCTATGTCACTAGCAATTTGAGTACATTGCTTTACAACTGAACCAACATACGAAAAATTGGAATAACGAGAATTAAAAGCTGAAGAAAACAATAAACAATCAGTTTATATAATGATATTATTATAAGCTAAGCTAAGCATCCATTCCAGTGCTTGCTCAACCGCTGAAGCTTCTGCTAATAACGGATCTTGAATGCGTCCTAACCTGCCTCCTTTAGCCGCAATGAAACGACCATCATGACTTCGAATAACGGCGCCATAGCCTGCTTCGTCAGTGAAAAGTGTTGCATCCACATTACATTTCAACCAGTTAAGTGGTGGTGGATTCCAGAGAGAATTTGGAG